TATTTTTCACTCACACGATTCCAGATTATATTGAATCGAAATATATTTTTTTAATATAAACGATTACAATACATCATATCGAATAACAATAAAGTTACGGTCTGATAAATGATGTTTATTCATATTTCATAAAAATGGTCATAATATTTTTATTCATGATAAAATTGATAAAATTTTATACAAAATAATAGGCTACATATATGTATAATATGTATTATATATCAATTATCTTTAAAGATGTATATATTTCTTAAAAAAACATTATTCGTTTTCTTTCTGACAAGCATCATTAATATGAAACGAATATTTTTAAGAAATTTCTTAGCAACACTTAAGAGGTATCATTTAAATGATATATTTTAATCAAACAGCATCTAGTCTGAATATCACATTCATTTATAAGACAGCACGATTGATTTCTGTATTGTAACTGAGAAATGAACCAAACAGTTCATTAATGATTCTAATCTTTATTCACTTAAAGTTGTTATAAAAAATAAATTATAATGTATATAAAAATAACTAACTTTGCGCCCGCAGCTTCCCCCGCGTGGACTTCGGTTATATCGCGTTGCCAAGAGAAACTTTCAAAAGTCTGGAATAAAAACTATCCTATGTCCTTTCTCAAGGTCAACTCTATCTCTGTACCAAATTTCCTTAAAATCAGTTCAGTAGTTTAGGCGTGAAAGCGTAACAGACAGACAGAGTTACTTTCGCATTTATAATATTAGTAGGGATAATGTTTTAAAATTAGTTAAGTACAAAAAAAAGTTATTTACTTCATAACAAGTAAAGAAGTACACTAAGTAATAAGTTTTAACAGCGGACATCGCTTCACATCAAAATAAACAAGACCAAATTTCCCTTCGTCAGAATAAAACGGACCCGACATTTTGATATATTTTTAAAATAATTTCTGTCACGTTGATGCTGTAATGGCATTTCTTATCTTATGAAAGTTTTAACTCACGATCGAACAATAATTTCGATATAAAATCGGGTCTTCAATAATAGAAGTCTGTCTCGGAAAAGTGGTTAAATAAAGTTTAAATAATGAAATAAATTGTCATAAATGTATACAAAAAAACATTTGTTTTTTTTTATTTTAATCTAGATAATGGATATGCATTTTCTTTTGATATTATTTATATGATATTTCATGCAATTTTATTATTTCATAATATACAGGGTGACTGGTGAATTACTATCAATATTTGAGGACGTGATATTTGACGATCATATATGACAAAATAAAAATTAATATAACATAAATATTAATAAACTTCTAAGTAATGTTAACCAAAAATTATGTAATTAATTACGCATCGTGTGAACACCCTACAGATTAGGTATACACTGACACTCACACATACGCGTGTCGTGACGTAGTGTTGTATCAGCACGCCGCCGCACGCGTCCACACTTGAACATTTGGAACGTGTCAACACTTTATTTATTTATACGGAAATTTTGTCAAAAATTAAGTGCCTATTTTTTTTACATAATTCGAATGAGAATCATGTACCGAGTATTCTCCTTAAATATTGATAGTAATTCACCAGTCACCCTGTATATATTATACATACTAGCTTTCCGCCCGCAGCTTCGGCCGCGTGGAGTTCGGTTATATCGCATTTCCAAAAGAACCTTTCAAAAATCTGGGATAAAAACTATCCTGTGTTCTTTCTCAAGGTCAACTCTATCTCTGTACCAAATTTCATTAAAATCAGTTCAGTGGTTTAAGCCTGAAAACGTAACAGACAGACAGACAGGCAGAGTTACTTTCGCATTTATATTATTATAGTAGGGATAGTATTTTGCTTCGTTCTAATACTCTAAGTAAATTGTATAGGAAATATTTATATACATTTCATTTATAATTTATTATTACTCAGTTGTATACATTCTAGCGTGTTGTATTAGACGTCACGTTTTAATATGAAAGGCGAGTAATTAGAGAATAAATATGTGGGTCATGTTTAATTGAGTCCGTTTGATTTAGTAAAAGCTTTTAATGTTATTCAATAAGACTTATAAAAAAATTAAGTGCCCACAGCTTTAATATGGAATGATTATGTACTCTTAAAGCATTTTTTTTATTAAATGCGATTATATTTGCGTTAAAGCGTCTCATAATTAAACATTATACAAATTTCAAGCTCTTAAATTATTCAAGGACTTTTTGATTCAATACTTTGAGTATTAATTATATAAACAAAGATTACTTTGTTGATTCGTATGCAATTAATTAAATGCTGGTAACAATACTGTATTTGATACGAATGAATTTTTTGTTAGTTTTATACTACTACTATATTTTCATAGGCGAAGATGACTACTTTCCATCAGGCAGATCGTCTGCCCGTTTGAGTAATTAAAAACATTATTTATTCAATATATATTTTTATCATAGTAAATAGCGCAAACAAAATTCTGTTCTTGATTTTATTTATAAATGACTATTGCAAATTTTAAATTAAGTATTCCTGTATGTTACGTCTTTACTCTACACATCAAGAATTTTGAAAACACGAGTTTTACAACACAAATTAACGGTACACTGCAATTTACATATGACATCAGTTTCTTAAAGCGAGCAAAGTCAGAGGCGAATCGTAAGAAAAATATATATAAGTATAAAAATTTAGGTCTTTATTTCTACTTACTGCTGAAAATCGATTCGAACAATTGAAACTATTTTATCACTATTCCATATTATTCTTCATATAATTACAAACGCTAATTTCAAAATAAAAAGTAGGCTATATATATAAGTTTTTACCATTACGTATGGTATATATCAGTATGTAAAGGATGCTTAATAGTCTATTGCAAGGCAGCATGACTAAAGTTCTTGACTTCCCCATTTATTAAGTGCCTTAAGTCCCTTTAAGAACGTAATGCAAGATTACAGTGCACTTGAACCATCGTAGTGAAGGATTTACCAATGTTCCACAAAGAAGCAGGAGCTAATTAGATGTCAGTCAATGCATTTTAATTTATTACTAAGAAGCCTTTTAATATGTATTAAAAAAGTACAGTTTAAAAAACTTGCCATTCTAATAGGATACATTTATTAGAGAATTCTGTTGAGTAAAACTTTTGCAAGAATGTAGAGGTTAGGTGGCTGATTGTACATAAAATTTAAGAATAAGTAAGACTTAATTATGTAAAATTTCCCTTGGAACATTATGCAGTAATAAATAAAACAATGTAATATTAAGAAAAATATATAAGTATATATATTAATTATGTTTTTACAAAACAATTAACATTATAAAGAGAATCCAATAACGCTTGTACGAGATGATGCCGTTTGTATTTGACAGCTTGTTGATTGGCTATCAAGCATCGTATGGTTTTCGACACGCAAATAGAAAATTAATTATACTTTTTATTAACAGAAATAATATATATATATATAAATGAAAACACAACTATGATTTTTTGATATGGAATTTAAATGAAACAATTTTATTACTTTATTTATTATCGAAACGTCGGGAAAATGTTAAAATAAGTAAATAAAAATGGGTTGTCATATATGATAAACATAGTGTCATTTTAAATTAAAATAAATTTTAATATCGCCACGCAACGCTTTATTCATAAAAATATTAACGCATAAACTGAAAGCGAAAGTGGTTAACTTTTAATAGGTTTAAAAACGTCTTTGAAAGTAAAATAAGTCTCCATATTACCCAGTTTTAAATGTATGTACTTAATTGGAGGACAATTTTGCGCTACAGTTATTTTTCATACAAATATTTTCGTAGAGAATGACATAATATATCATTGTAACTTTGAAGTACGATTTTTTGTAATGTTTTATTAAATATGTATAAGATGGTTCCAGTTCATAGTTCCTGTATTGGAAATAGTAATTTTTCATATATTCAAAAAAAAAGAAAGATTATTTAGTATCGATATACCATGAACACATTTTTTATATTATTTTCATTCGCATAAAGTTTCAAGAAAATACAATAAAATGTTATGTAGTAGAAGTCACTTAGGATAATATCGGATCCAAATTATCGACATCTTTACGTTTTTTTTTCTGATTAACATATATTCTTATAAATTTCATTGACGAAAAGATTTCACAATGGTAACAATGCTTTAACAGCCACAAGGCACAGTACATAGAAAAATTATATTGAAATTCTAATCAATATTGCCTATCATTAAGCAGTTTTCAATGTTGCATTTGAGTTTCGATAATATAAAAGCAGTACAACTATTTAATTTACCTCCGTTAACTATTGTTTTTGTAAAGAGGAGTCAAGGTTAAACTTAAACATCTACTCACGTCAGTTGAAACTATAAATATATTTTTTTGAAATAAACTTTAAGATTTTCTAAAAATAAATAAGTTATATCCGACTTTACGTGAATTCTATAAGCAATTTGATTACCCTTAATTTACATAATAATACAACATACGGATCTTTAACATTTTTTCATTCATAAATCCTCACATTATACATAGTATTAACGTAGCATATTGAATGAGAACCGAGTCACGCTTATGTAGAGTGACTTTGCAAACTTATTTAATCGTACAAGTTGTTCTAACAAAACAAATGTATACAATAGAAGGAATTCCAAACAGAATTCTTACACTATCCTGTCATTAAAACTTATCTGATGCTTGACAGTTATATTTCGGGAGTACGGGAGAATAAACATGAAACAAGGCTCTCACTGGCACAGAGCCAGAACAAGAGCTAACGTTTTACAGTAATATTTAATGCCTCCCAATTTACTGGTGACTGTTAAATTGCCACGTTTGTGATTTGTTTCAACCATTTTATGGCACTCGACGATAAAATACTCACGTATTTTAATAACTTAATGATGATTTCAGTACTTACAAAACTTTTTTTGGATGCAATAAAACACTTAAATAATTTTAATAAATTAAATTAATATGGTTTTGTTAATGTTTGAAGTGAACCTTATAGGTGTTTGAGATTTTGTACATGTATATTACTTACCTGGTACCAGCAACTGGTTGCCATACAGCATCAAGCGGCGCGTGCGCAGGCTGGGGTGGTTCTCCACCGTCTCCATTAGCCTCGGTGCGACCTTCCCAACCCTGATAATAAAATACTATTATAATCCGATGATAATTCTGTTACTAGGAACAACATTGAATTTACTTTACCTAAGAGCTTTAATTTGTGGTGAGAGCAAGAGTTACTGATCGTTTTTTGTTTATAAAACATATTTATAATGAAAGTGACTGTGGTAGATAAAGTCGTAGTTTAATGTAGTGATACAGGTCAATGAGTTATCAATGGTTAAGAAAAAACTCTTTGCTTATTTAAAATAATGAATGTCCTTTATAAACGTCAATTAAACTAACAAGTGTCACAAAAAAGATCTTATTACTGATGCTTCATATTAGAATGTTATTTAGATGCAAATTATACTAGGCATTTCGTTAATCGTCAACAAAATGAATCAGCGTTATTATAAAACAAAAGGATTTAATCAAAATTTTAACTGACAATAGCTGCATGAATGTAAATAAGAAAAATCGATCACGTCTGCCGGATAATTATTCTGTCTCAAAAAAAAACACCTTACTTTATGCTACGGGGGAATGAAAAATAAGGGTTGAAGAAGCATTTCGAAAATTGAAATTCTAGGGTACGTTAACCAGCCATCGGGTCTTTGAGCCGGTTGTGTAAAATCTTAGTACAAGTGGAGCTTTTGTTTCAGTCGGACACAAATAGCCGGCTATTTTTGTTTGTAAAACGTTTGTAGATACTTGAATTTTAAATAAGCTATGAAATTTTGAATTGGATGTTATAATACAATTCAAACTTTACCTTTGTATACAAAACATGAACAATATTTATTTTCTCGATTGAGATTTTTTTTTTTGGTAAAATAACAAAAAAAAAAAATTTTTATGCCCAATGTTCAATATTGTTCGAGAAACAAAGATATATAGAAGTGGGTATTGTTTTATGTAAAAAAATGGCAAATGATTTATAGACAAAAAAAATATTTTTGCACAATAACAAATATTTTTATACATTCACAAAGTCTTGTATATGTATATCAGCAAAAAACGCTCAAATAACTTTAGTGACCTTAAAATTCTTTCTAGAGACGTTAAACAAAGCAATGATCTTATGTTAAATCCATAAACTTTGTTACAATTCGAGCATCCGTAATTGAAATTCAGATCCAATATCCTAGCAAACGGTTATAAACTAAAAATACCGACGAAGCTTTATTTCACGCCATCCAAACCATTTAGAATTCTGCTTCCGAAACTATTTTTATTTCAAACATTCTGTATGCCACGCTTAATAGAACCTTTGTCCATCTTGACGGTTCTATTACAAAGCTATAACATATAGATGGAAATTATACTGCAAGCGAATGAAAATATAAATTCTTTAACGTAATTTGATATCTATTTAACTAGCATAGACATGTATATATGTTAGAGATAGTAACTGATATCAACCTCTAAATACTTCGTTTTATTAATTGGCATCTTGTGAAGCCTCTTTGGAAGCTTTAAATTCAAATTATTTCATTAGCTATCGACGTCACTATAACTGTCAATAGAGCATTCGTGCGCCTGATTGTTTAAAAGAAATTCAACATGTCGTAATCTGACGACGAATATGGATTTTACATCGCTCTCATTCTGCGACAGCAGCGGTGGGATAGCTTCTTAATTTATCCCATGTGTCTGCTGTGCCTGTTACTCAAGATTGAGAATATTTTACATCGGGCTACAACATTCTAGAAAATATGTCGGCGGGTCCATCGACATAAAAAAAATGACGATCGCGGCAGCCCTCCATCTGAATATTAAAATATGATGGCTGGCTTTAAAAAAACGAGTGAAAACTGAAAGGATGTGCTAAGAAATAGGTTGCCTGTTCATACCCTCCCTGCGAGACCTCGGAAGAGCTCAAGAAGCATCTCGTTTGACGGTTTGCTTCAACTAAAAGATGTTACGATTTATTTGGTGACATGGTGCAGTACAAGAGTGACCAGGTCTCAACATACATCAAGTATTCAACCAACAAGTTGGCTCTGTTTGACCGGTTGGATACTGGGAAGAGTGAGTCCCATGAAATTGTGGTAGTTATCTCCGGCATCACAGACGTTCAGGTATTCAGAGTTGCTTAAAAATAACTTCAACTAGTTTCGTGACACATGAGCACTTAAATACATGTACATACATACATTAGGAATCCTAAGTGACATTACGTAAGGAAGCAAAAGAATATGACACCTCTAAATGACTTAAATTGAGTGGGCTACGGACCGGTGTTGCTATCATTGCAACTAGATAGGACATTTAAAAAGAATAATGGTGGTGGTACAACAAGTTAAGCGAAAAATTTAATGGTCAATGTACGATTACTACAGTCTTTGCATATATAATATCCAGCTAGTGCCTGAACTATGAGAATATCTTGATCATGTCGAATACAGAGAGGATTAATTAGATTGGCGGTTTGCTAATGTGATTTAGTGTGTTGGAAAGTTAATTGTCGTACTGATATACTATATCTATTGTTTTGGTGATTGTATCTTGTTTCATATAAACGCTGAAAACTACAACGCTTTGCGGAAGGATGGATTGAAAGCTGTATCGCTTTGTCCTATTGAGCTGGTGAAAGCTGTTACGCTTTGCTGTGAGGATGGGTTCGAAATTGTTTGACATATAATTGTTGCTGAAAGCTATTACGCTTTGCGGAAGGATGGATTAAAAGCTGTATCGCTTTATCCTATTGAGCTGTTGAAAGCTGTTACGCTTTGCTGTGAGTATGGGTTCGCAATTGTTTGACATATAACTGTTGCTGAAAGCTATTACGCTTTGCGGAAGGATGGATTGAAAGCTGTATCGCTTTGTCCTATTGAGCTGTTGAAAGCTGTTACGCTTTGCTGTGAGTATGGGTTCGCAATTGTTTGACATATAACTGTTGCTGAAAGCTATTACGCTTTGCGGAAGGATGGATTGAAAGCTGTATCGCTTTGTCCTATTGAGCTGTTGAAAGCTGTTACGCTTTGCTGTGAGTATGGGTTCGCAATTGTTTGACATATAACTGTTGCTGAAAGCTATTACGCTTTGCGGAAGGATGGATTGAAAGCTGTATCGCTTTGTCCTATTGAGCTGTTGAAAGCTGTTACGCTTTGCTGTGAGTATGGGTTCGCAATTGTTTGACATATAACTGTTGCTGAAAGCTATTACGCTTTGCGGAAGGATGGATTGAAAGCTGTATCGCTTTGTCCTATTGAGCTGTTGAAAGCTGTTACGCTTTGCTGTGAGTATGGGTTCGCAATTGTTTGACATATAACTGTTGCTGAAAGCTATTACGCTTTGCGGAAGGATGGATTGAAAGCTGTATCGCTTTGTCCTATTGAGCTGTTGAAAGCTGTTACGCTTTGCTGTGAGTATGGGTTCGAAATTGTTTGACATCTAATTGTTGCTGAGAGCTCTTACGCTTTGCGGTGCTGTCAGACTAATAGGCCTCACGCTTAGCCTTGTGGTTGAAAGCTGCTTGAAACGTTTTGCTTATGTGCTTGTCGTATTCAATTACTGAGATGTATGGTGATCATATGATAAAAGTGCAACGCGAAAGCGCGTTGATGAGCAAGCTGGCCGTGTTAGAGATAGTATCTGATATCAAACTAAAATCATTCGTTTTATTAATTGGCATCTTGTGAAGCCTCCTTGGATGCTTTAAATTCAAATTGTTTCGTTATCTATCGACGTCACTATACTGTCAGTAAGGCATAAGTGCTTGCGCCGGGTGTGCGCACTGATTGTTTACAAGAAAGTGAACATGTAATCTGACGACGAATATGGATTTTACATCGCTCTCATTCTGCGACATATATAAATATATATTCTAATTTTTTTTTTCATAAATATAGACTCGATCTTATATTAATATGTAATATTCTAAATATAAGCCATGGGGAATATAATATGGGGCCCTTATAAAATAACAAAATATCGTTTATTTTTTTACGGTATACCATTGTTTCATTCAATTTATCTAAATTATATACAAGGAGAAAATTTATCAGGCCCGCTGTCACGGGAATATTATGCAAAGCCTTTAAGCTTAAAATGTAAAGGCATGGCAGATCGAATAAATCATAAGCCACATATTCCGTCACAATGGGATCATAATTTATTTAAAAAATTCAAATGAGAAATGTTTCTAGAGAGTATTCATATATAAGTATTTTTTTTAATTTATACTGCTCCCAGAGAAACTATGAAAGTATTCATAAAGTAGTAAGGAAAATTCATCTATATTGATTTTTCTATCAAATTTAATTTCGCCGTCGCAAAAGTGTCTTCGTGTAATAAAATTAATGGAATGCTCCCGGCGGCTGGTTGAATGCAGTCTGTGGAAAAAATTTATTACCTATCGGTAAAAACACACTTCGCTTATACAAGCTGTGCTTACATTTTAAATATTTAAAGGGGAAATATGTAGCAATATCGATGAAGTTATTTATAAAGCTACATTTTTTAGTAGCTTTTTCATGTTTTTATGTTGCCGTGAGTGGTATTATATAAGTGAATACCATGTTGCTTTAAACTATGGCGAGCACCTGACTTTGCTTCTCTTGAAATTGAATTAGAATCCGTTTAGCTTTTACTATTAAGTTATATAAAAACTTAGCCTTACAAACTATGAGGAGCACGCCAAGAATGTTGATATCGTATTTCATAGTATATTTCAAGTAACTTCATGTAAGAGGATGTCGCTTAGAAAAACTTGGTTTGTAATCAAAATCATGTCTTTTCATTTCTTTATTCATAAAAAGATACGGTAGCCGTTAAGGTAAACTTTAAGGGGGGAAAATTTATAATATTTTTATATGACGAATAAAGTATAAAATAAGTTTAAACTAGGTTATTACAAAAAATAATTTCCTTTTAAGTCATTGTTAGTTTTTGTCACAGAATTGGAAAAAACTCAACACATGCAACATGGTTGCCACAATTCACGTAATCAAACTTAGTTTTAAAAAATGTATTTGATACTGTTTTAATTTTCATTTAATAAGTTTGTTTCTAAAATATAATTCGTTTAAAGTATTACTTAAGTTGAAAAAACCTGGTTATATTTAAATCTCAAGGCGTTATTCGCTTGAGCCGTTTCATCAACAACAGTACATAGTTTTTATCTTCAATATTTTGACAATATTTTACTTTATATGTAGGAAATAACTAAGGCTTTTTTTACGGCTAAATAAGAAGATTATCAAATCTTAATTACTACTCATCATTTATTCTAACCCATTTTAACTAGTATATTCGTATGAATCTATAATTTTAAGTATATCAGTACAAGTTTTATATTCTGAGCAATATTTTTAGTTCACCCTCATCTAATGCTTTAAACTACACCGCTCACTACAAACAGAACTCGCTCGATCGTTCCTACACTACTGTTTGCTAAACTAATTAATTAAACAATGTGTAACTCGTGATATGACCTTAATACTTATATTGTACATATAAAAATAACTACACATGTGAACAATCGTCAGAATGTACAAAAACTAGTATTACTTTATGCATATAGAAGTTTATAATTTTATAACATTAAATTATGAACATTTATATTGCACGCTCTTAATAATGAAATGTTTCTTTTATTATTGGCTTATCAAAACGAAACTACCAAAACCGCAATGCTCTGATTAAAATGTTATAACTATTATTCAGCGATAACTCTTTGATTGCTGCATAAAATGTATATATAATATATAAATTAAAGCATTTACTAATAAATATAAAGAGTATTATATCAAAAAAATAATTCGATATTGTTTTTTTTTTAGCCTATCAGAGCCCACTGCTGAGCAAAGGCCTCTTTCTCACATGGAGAAGGTTTGAGCATTAATCACCACACTTGCTCAAGAGCTTCAACTTGGGGTTGGTGATTTCAAACTTATAATTATGAAATTATAAGTCCAGGTTTCCTCACGATATTTTCCTTCCTTTCCTTCACCGTCTGTCAATGATGTCTAAATACTCTTAGAAAGTACATATGACTCGGAAAAATCACATTGGTACTTGCCAGGATCGAACCCGCGCCCTCGTGCACGAGAGGCAACTAGGCCACCACAGGTTTATATTGTTATACCGAATTATTTCTTAAGCAGGTTATCTTAAGCATATCTAAAACAATCATAATTTCTTTGAAGCGAGCTTCTGTACAATGGATAACTACATAACCGATATAGTTATATTGACTATAGCATATATACATAAAAATTTACCTCACAATTATAAAAACAAATACTTAATAATTCCAGCAAACTATCTCACTAAAGTTCAATGATATTTTAATTTTTAGAATATACATTCTATTTAATTAAATTACATTTAATTTGGGTTATCAACTGTTGAGTATTTAAACTCACAGATAGTGTCCTTGATGTGTGTTTTTAAAAACATACCAAATACTGTCATAATTATAGCGATCCTTTTTAAGAAACGCTTACTACTAGTTAATATTTTTGCTCTATATACGGTGAGTTTAAATTATTTCATAAACTTAAGTTGAGAAAGAGACGAAACATGTTACCATTCCATGGATTCACCGTAAAATTGGGGTGTTTTTTAAATTCAATAGCTTCGGGGATTAGTCTCGGTATATATCTTCACGAGATCTACTGATAGACACTCACATCTCGTCTGCCCGTGATCACGGTTGCTGTAAAGTAAGTACGTCGGGAGTATGTAGTTAAAAAAAATAAAATACCCGTACTATCCGAAAAATATTAGTTTCATTGAATAAGACTCGGCAAAATCTTGGATCTCAACTAAAAGTATGTAGTGTAACAATGCAAACCTTAGGATAAGATTTGAAGTCGAAATTTGAGAACGTACATATATTAGAATGGTGCCTTAGTAGAGTTGGTTGGTTAAGATTTAAAGCTCTCTGAGCAAAGAGAGGAAATTTCTTAGCATTTAATAGATTCACCGTGCGGATGCCGAGTCCATTGTTGCAGGGAGAGGAGCTTCAACAGTGCCTGGGACTTGCGACCCAAGTGTAGGTTTAAGACTATCTAACGCACGTTAAACGCTCACCTCCACCGTCAATTCTGCTATCTCCACCTAAACAAACTTGTAACGAACCCACTAGGGCTGCTTTCGAATTACGTTATTCTAAAGAATTATTAATAAAAAAACTCAATATAAGTATTTAAGTAAACTTTTATAACATAACGTTAGGTCTTAACCAAAAATAAAAATCGAGTCCAAAAAACTATAAACAAACATTATAACATAATCATTTAAAAATGATACAGTTAAATAAATGACCACAGCATTGATTTAATAATTTTATTTTGACCACAATTCAACACGCCAATGGCTTAACAAAATAATTATGTTTACAAACTACCCATTGCACTTAATCGTAAATAAATTTTAAGAACAAGTGCTGAATCTCATCTGTTTCCAGTCAACATATTTTGTATCTTATATAGTAAATATAACACATTACTCATCTGTTCTATTACGAGATGTTAGAACTAAATCTATAAATAGAATTCAACGTATACAAAGCTTTTGTATTAATAATTTTACGATTAACGACGATAATGTAAAAAAATACATTTTAATATAGAATCTTATTTCGCTAGTTTAAAATATTTTGTTTGTGAAGATTTTCAAGCTATTCAGTTACTAAATATAGCCGTGACATTCCTAGTTAATGACAATAACGGTAATTGGAATTTAACGCTACCGATTTCAACGACACCATCTTTTTAAGGACGTAGCATTGATAATGAAAAAGTTAGCAGACGTGTTGTTTACTTGTTCGAGACTTATTTACATAAAATTTTACTCGAATGTCGTTATTCTAAACTATTTACCGTTTTCGATTGGCGTCCTCCTGTAATAATTGACACTGTATCAATAACAACTTACACATAATTGTAAGAATAAATTCGCGGGTAAAAATTTCAAATTTATTATATGTATTTATAAAATATTAAATCTATTTCCATAACCGTTGCAAATGTTTAATATTTAAATAACGTAATATTTATTTCGTTAATTTTAGTATAAAATTTCGCGCGGTCTCTAAAGTACCTAAAAGTAATCAGCATTACATCAAACTTAAAGGGAAATAAATGGTTTAAATAGAGAAAATCAAAAAATAATTAGACAATGCTGGAAAACTAAAACGTATGTAACAGTCTCATTTTAACTTTACTATGAGTTTACATTGTCGATCTAAACTCCGTCTGTGTATTTTCTGACAAATAACCTCTAAGAATATTATTAGTATTAATTTCGTAATGTAATCTCGAAATCACAGAAGAAGAGACATACATTAAATCTATCTATCTTTGTCCCCACCGGCGAAAATCGTAAACATACTACAAGCTTATAAGAGATTTTCGATCATAAAAAATATATTAACAAAATCTGCTTCAACATTTTCTCATAATTCTAAGCCTACGATCCAATCAATTTGTTAACAGGGGAGCTTAGCTGAAGTCTTACGGAAAAATGTTTTTATAAATATTCCCCCAAAAATATTGCGATCGGGTTCCGGTCTCATCGATTTTTAAAAATATGTCAAGACGTTTTTTTCTCTTTGACATTTAATATCACTTTATATGTATTAAATATGAAAGGATTTTATTATTTTTATATCGATACAAACTCACAAAGTAGCTGGTAGCTAACGTATATTTATAAACAAATTTATAGCAGACCACAATACTAGCTTAGTCTTGAAATATTAATGAAAATAGGATCTAAAATAACGTCATGTCTTCTTTGTTTGAGTCGCAATTGTAATTACCTGGAGTTCCTCATTGTATCTCGACCTGGCGGATCCGGAGGCTGGTCTTTCGAGCAGCAATAGTTCTGTGAGAACAATTACACCGAAAACGGCGAAGAACATAATAAATATGAAAAAACTGATGTTAGCGCGCTCTTTGGCGCGGGAATGTACGGCGCGCGCCCGCCACCGCATTCTGCCGGCACTAAACTCTGCATGGACGCGGGCACAATGGCTTATGCCACTGAGACACTAAACGATCGGCACTCGGTCACTAGGCCTGAACATCCATACACCACAAAACAACCACACACCGCGGCGCCCCCAACAATTGTGATGACAGATTTGTCTAATGCCTATGTTGCTAGCTTTCCTTTTCAATTTCCCCTTATTTTTTATGTACTATAAAGGAATAAACAAAAAATATTAAATGAAACATTTCTTTCATTTTTTCATTCTTGTCCACATGTTTCGGCCGATTGAATATTTTTTATCTTTATTTAATTATAATTTATAAGTAACTACACTTGAGATATATGCATATATAGCCAATTATAACCAATTATAATTATACAATAACAAAAATATATATAGGTCAAAGCTAAATCGGATCCAAAACAATAATTTGAATACCGTTATATGTATTTGCAAAGACCTACAAAATGAATAGTGCCAAAATACTGGCAACACGAAAATACTTTTGAAGCGCATGCGTACCAGCCGCCCCTCGTTCAATGACTTTCATTGACGGCTCGAACAACTTGGAAAGCTTCCCCAAATAAAATATAGTGTAATAAAATTCACAGATGTTTTTATTACATCAACAATTATTAAAACACATTAAAATACCCGAACGCTGGTGTAAAAATGTATTACGTTACTAAAATAGATGTCTTGTGGTATAAACGTGATCTAGGTCGGCTTTGTGTACGTTATTATAGTTCTCAGTTTTGAAATTAGCTAAAGTAGGATGCATACAATTTGTAGCCAGTGATGAGAACGATAGTCGAATTGATGTAGGAGTTTATAGCAAAAGAAATTTTACTTACATTATTTATTTTGTTTAGAAATCCAAAAATTCTTTGTTTGACACGAAGTATATTAAAAATTGAAACATCTTAAAAATTAATTATTGTTTACAAAACATTGTAAGATTTTAAACATTATTTTATTTTTATTTCAATTATCCTGTAACAAGTTACAATAGTGAAGATTTCTATGAAATGCAATATGAATTAAGTTTTTTTCCTAACTATAATCTCCAAATAAAATTGACATAGAAAATTACCGTAATGTTATATAGCAGTTAGCACAGATTATAAATTTTCATTTAAAGTGCTTATTTTCTTCGAAACGTGTATCCGTGAGTTCAACAATGGCAACCAACTAATGCAGTAGCTATGTTTGAAACATGATTAGAAAATTAGTAGGTATAATTTTTTGTTTTTGTTTTTTTAGTTTTCGAGTAAAAGAAGAAGTTTTTTATAATCTTTATCCACATAAAAAAACGATATGTATAAATTCAATTAGGGAATATTTAAAGCTATAGTTTCGTGATTCAGAAATATATATTTTAACATGTAAATACGCTATAAAACTTCTTTAATAGATTACTCCTTCACAAATATATGTACTAGAAAACATTATTTAGTTTTATTTTATGTGATTCCAACCACACAGAGCTAATAAAAAGTAATGTTTACCTATTTGTTATAACTGTACGTTGAATTTTATAAAATCGAGCCAATAAAAATAAATAAAATCAATTTGGGGAATTAGTGGAACTTAATTATCAAAATGTTTATTCTTTCAGTAACTATTTTAGTCACTGTCTATTCTTCAAAGTAATTAAATGAATTTTCCACTTAAGGAAGGTCGCCGTCGCGGAAAATTTGATAAAAACAGACTGAAACTAGGTCCACTATAATAAGAACCTATATACACCTATTCATAGCTACGGATATAACAAATTTCTTCGATAACTATTTTGGCGCTTTCACAGATTATTTTCAAATAAACTAGTCTATCAAGTTACAGATAATAAAATTACTTACTAAACTTGACATATACTATAATTATAGAAAGTGAGAAATAACAGAAAAAAAATACTTTCAATATAAATAAATAATATTTGTTTACGAAATTAAACAATAATAGTCAATCATCATATACATTGCTTTAGTTGAATGTGAACAATATCTGTTTAATACCGGAGGCCTTTGTTGGGCGTATTCATTTATTAAACTAAGCTTTGGACTATAAAAACAAGATACTAATCGTATATTGAGGTATTTATCGTAAATTCGTGACCTTTATTTTATTTACCTATGTTTCTCTTCGTTTAATTTATTATATAGTCCGTTGTTCATGTATTTAATTATAAAATATAGCACTCATTAAAATGTTGAGTTTTTTTTATATTTTAAGTAAAAGTTATATATGTGGCCGTTTACGTAAATTAAATTAAAAGAAATGCCCTCCGTTTGAAAATTCCTAATATCTGACAGCCACTATCTGAGAATAAATACTGTTAAAAATAAATAAAATTTGACGTTTGATTTCAACTATATCATTTTTATAATTTATTATTATATTTGTAATATAAGAATAAAAAGAGAAACAGTTCATTGTGAATGCATTATAATATAAATAAAATATAAGATATAAGTCAAATGTTTATGTACTGGACTATTAGAAGGTATAATGAAACCTCCTTTGTTTATGACAAAAAAACTGGCCATCCACGTATCTAGTACGCAAAAAAGACGATTAAAACAGTGTAGCGTTCGAATATTTTTTTTTTCAGAAGTAAAGAATATTATCTCGGGAGATAAACATAGCGCCTATTACCAAGCCTTGTACGTACGTATATATAAAAATAACTAAAGACTTGCAGTTTATAATCTCTTATATAGTACTATAAGAGATTACTTTAGAAATAAAAATCATATTGTGGTCCAATAATCAAAATGATTAAGCAATACTCTATTGGAAGTCTTAGAAAAATCTTGTTTAGGAGTTAATTTTTACATTTACGATATTTTAACAAACAAACTATATTTTAACATTATTTTAATATTAGTTCTGTTAGTAGCTATATTATAAGGTTACTAGATAATTAGGTTTGTACATTTATTGTGAAAGATCTGAAGAAGCTTTCCAATTAATGGAAGAATACTTGATAGGCATTAATCGGATTGTTATTACTGTAGGGATAATTTAGTTTGGAGTTTTGTGAATAAGTTATTAAATCAATATAAACAAATGCTTCGGACTCATTAGATTTAAAGATTTGTCATTTAATGGTCAGTTTATACAGTGGAATTGCTGTAAACGTAGTACTTTTCTACAAAAAGAGTTTGGTTTCATATTAATATATAATATTAGGACACTGTAATAGTAACGAATCTTATAATAAACATAATATTCAGGTTCATCAAGATAAAGTATATCATGCATTATAAGAAGTAATATGTCGTGATCTGACTATAGAGTAATGAAAAACTGAAAGAAAATCGTTGTTGTCAAGTTAGTTACTTACTTAATATAAATGAGATCATTATTTTTAAATATATTAAATATATAAAAATTCATATTAGTTTAGAAAAATAATAAAATCATCAAGAAATAAATTGTGTTGCTTGCGTTCAGATACTTGGCGGAACAACGTGTGTCGGGTTCGCTAGTATTACATAAAAACGACAGGTTTCTAACATGTACCAGAGAACAGATTATGACTTTCTCGCTATAATGATTTGCTTGAGAAGCTTAATTCTAGCAATATCAATCAGTATTTTATGTTTCCTGGCACTTTCAGAAAAATAAATGTACGAAAATGATGAATCATAGAACCTGTATAACTTCTATATCTTGGATCCTACATCTTTTGCGCCATATTAACTATTGCTCCAAATGGTTAGTTCTAAGAATATGTACCATTTTTTTTGTTGGCCGGCACTTTCAAAAAAGGCCCTAAAATGTGTGAAACCTGAATGATCTCCTTTGGTTTCAGATGAATAGCATTGGAGGAAAAGATAAAAATAGCACGTAATACATAAAATACATATGTAATTTTATGTTAGCAGCTTATATGAGTAATATGATATTAAGTTCCCAAATCCGGTACATAGCTCATAATATTATTAACCTTCTCACGCCGCCACATCACACCTTGGCAATCTGACTATTGGACTTAGTGTAAGAAACGAGTATATTGTCTACTTTAACCTTATACATTTAAAACTTTATGTAATATACTTGTCTGTCGTAACAATAAATATGAGCAATATTACATTTTTTGCGCACATTACATCGTACAATCATCACTTAGGATTTAAACAACATTTTCATGATGAAACTGCACTGTACTTTTTTGTGATTACGAGCAAGATTAAGAAAGATTTTTCTCTGCAGGTTTAAAGGTCTTCTCTAAAAACAAATCCATGTTTTTAACAATACGCATGAAATTGATTAACGTAACATTAAATAGTCTAACAGATCACTAACTAGATTTTATTGGCCTAAAATTCAATACAGACTCATTTATTTTTACTTTCAGTAAATATTATATGACTAAAGTAAATTTTCAATTGTGAAATGCTAAGCGTATTATTTCAAAGCCTGTCATGTCCGTGACTCACGAACGTGAGCCAGCGACGAGGAAAATGTTACACAGAAAAATTTTAAAGTCTATAAAGATCATACGATACATGTTATAAAGGATATAGTGTTGTTTATTTTTGATATTTACATAAGTATTACTTTAAATAAACTGCATTACTTTCATATATAATTTTCACGATTATTAAGAAAGGTACTTATGAATGTAAAAAAGACAATTGAAATCTGTACATATTTAAAAGAAATATAATTTATATATACAGGGTGACTGGTGAATTACTATCGATATTTGAGGACGTGATATTTGACGATCATATATGACAAAATAAAAATTAATATAACATAAATATTAATAAACTTCTAAGTAAAGTTAATCAAAAGTTATGTAATAAATTACGCATCGTATGAACACCCTACAGATTAGGTATACACACACACACACACTCGCGCGCGGCGGCGTGTTGATGTATCAGCACGCCGCCGCACGCGTCCACACTTGGAACACTAGGAACGTGTACACACTTTATTTATTTATACGGAAATTTGGTCAAAAATTAAGTACCTATTTTTTAACATAATTCGAATGAGAATCATGTACCGAGTATGCTCCTTAAATATTGATAGTAATTCACCAGTCACCCTGTATAACTCGATCAAGTTATCCGTCTAAATGTTAGAATATTCTTTAAACTCTCCTCTATTCTGTCTCAATAAAATGTGTTAGAGGCCTATTTTATACGCAACTTTAAGAAGACAGTTACCTAATAGAACGGTTCGAAAAACTTTTCACTGTCACACTACATAAATATGTACTAACAATTCAAGGGTATTAAGTACATTTTGTTTTTAGGAAGTCTTTATATTGATGTTTTTTATTAATTTTACACTGTATTTGTTCGTTTTCTTATATTTTAAATGATCAGCTGCATGATAAAGTGAATCACTTTATGCTATATGTACTTAACACGACGAAACACGTAACGTAAAGTAAAAAAGTGACCTAATGAAGGATTTTTTTTATTTAGGGAGGAAAGTATAACAAAGTCGTGAACTAATATTAGTAAAGATTAGTCATATTTTTTGTAGGTTTTTGTTAGTATTTTAACATGAAATTATAGAATATTTTGTTATTATTTTAATACGACTAATAAATATGATAAGTATGAATTACAAATATTATTTTCTTCGATAGCATTAGTCCTTTAAAGAGTATTTATTGTACTAGTACTTATTCAAACTAAAAAAAATTAAGAAAGAACATATTGTCATAATATAATCGAATATTTACAACATTCTGTTATTGACACTGGCAAAAAATCCACGATTCTAATGCGAAAGCATTAAAAGAAAACGTTTTGTCATTTCACTATGATTTTTTGATTGATGACCAAAGACTTTATCGTTGTATATCCATATACTAAATAGCATAATATACTAAAGAACAAAATTATATAACTATTTAAAATATAATAAAGTGAATACATCATATTTAATACCTAATTTAACATGTAAATGTGCTGTAAAATTGTCTGCATACCCCTTAAATGAAGCGGTTATAAAGGAAAATTTAAAATTAAACTGTATATTTTATACCTTTATTATTATTATTTCTACTCCAACAAACAGACAGAATTCAGTAATTGTCTTGGAATTAAAACCACAGAAATAAAGCTTGTCAAGTAACAACATATTCATACTAGTTATTGCCCGCAACGTCGTCTCTCTAGAATTATATTAATTTTGCTCTATTTAATGACAAAGGCATACGGCACTGAGCCAGCCACGTTCAGGCTAGAGTCTCAAATGACTATGAAGGTTTTAATTAATACTATAAATATTATTACATTTAAATATTTTCACGATGTATTCTATCAAATAACAAACATTCTAAGTCGTAATGACTGACATTTATACAAAAAATTATCGTACTTAATTGATAATAAAAATTCCTGATATTTATTTTTTCACCTGCCTTCCATTGAAAGAAGAGAGATATGAAATTTTATGGTGTTTGCAATTTGTAAATCTTCTTTGGTAAAAATTAATATGACTGATGCTTGAAACGTTGCTTACCTGATTGCAATGTTACTATGAAAATGTTACTAAATCAGAGTAATATTTGTAATAATATACAAATTAATGTGATTTTGGTATCGTTATACTTAAATCCAGAGAGATTTATTATACTTCAAATAATAAATTATAAAAGAAATTTGCTATTATGGCTAGATTTGCAAACGGTTTAATGGTTCTATCTTGTTTTCTTTTCATGAAAAAAGAAATTTACTGTACTTCACCTGAAAACTTTACGTCTCGATCTATTATTTAAACAAAGAAAATGAATTTGTTTGTCTGTCAAACTGTGTCAGTCATAAAAATCATATAATTTAAGAATTAATTTTAACTTATTTTATACCTAAAACTCTTATTTTTTCTATTAACGAAACAGAGATTTTAAAATAATTATAGTCCTTCAATCGCTCCAGATTATTCACCGAATTGTTGAATAGGTACATTTTGGAAACAACATTAAAAATGGCAGTTATTATTTAAGATCGTCTACCATGATATTAATAGAAATTTAACATTAAAAATAGGAAGGATTTTCTATGTCGATTATTAATTTTAATAAAGTGTTGTAAGAATATAATGAGAGACAAAAATTCACTAAACACATTTTTTTGTAATTTTTTCATTAAAAAAAATCCATAATTACAAATGTTTGCCTTTTCGGTAATTTAGCAATGTCATGTATAGAAGAAATTACATTAACAAAGTTGTAGGAAATATAATCTAAAAAAGTTGAGTTTTCTTGTAAACTGCCTGTATTTACCCGTACGATAATTTTATATATTTTTAGTCCCTCTATTAGTGAATATTCAAAAGCATGTAAAGTTGTTTTTAAGGACGTAGAAACATTATTATTTTAAAAATACCACCAACTTCATACTTTGACAAATAAGAATTTTGTCTAATTTTTCTCAATTTTAATGCTTTTTTATATCATTAACTTTGAATAATCCTATAATATCTGAATGTAGTTACTTTAAAGTCTCCTAAGATACTGTAATTGATAGAAATAATTCTAATAATTATAATCCATTAATGTACTTAAATAATCCGCCGATAAGAGGAAAACCAGAAACAAGCTAACTATTTATGTCAAATGTCATGGCAAGTGAAACGTCAAAATAAAATTTATAAAAGTCCATTCTGGTACGGGTGAGGGTGGATTTTTTACAAAATGGTTCAAAAAGGGGACTGTCCTCCCGATGATAATCTTTTTAGAGGATTTATATCAGCTTTGTACAACACCCTAGATGCTCCTGTAACCTGGTTCAGAGGTATTAGTCTTAATCACACTATGATTGTTGTTATGTAAGTATTTTACTAATAGAATGTTTGTTATGCAGAAAAAGTTGTTGAACCTAATCAGAAAAAGTATCCGTGGTACCATCAGCAATACCGCCGTGTTCCGACCATCGATCAATGTTATAGCGACGATGTTGTTTGCGACTTCGAAGCCAATTTGCAATTCAAGCGTGATAGGTTAGTTTCGAATATAAAATCTCCAATAGACGTATCAGCTTCTATAATATTTTGTTATATATGTATATCGATTTGATTATAGAGCTGTGGATTCCGAAATCTTGAATATTCTCCGTATGCGTTTTGAAGATTGTATGATGTATGAAAGCCCAGATCAACTCACTTGCAAACCTCTGTGGGACAGATACAAGGACGCTGAAGAAGCTTGGTTCATTAAGTGTAAGTATTACAAGTACTATCTTATAATATCTTAAATATTATCGAAATAAATTCCCATGTAACAATATTACCTTTAAAATCAATAATTACTCTAGACAACTATTTTTACATTATTCACATATATGTGAATATTTATAGATATTGAATTTTGTACCAACACTAAGACATACTAACAAAATTTGATTTCACCAAAAAAAAGTTATACAGTTCATACAAATCTATTTTACTTAGTAACACACTTTCACAAAAATCACTCTTCTATGGGTCCAAATATAACAAGAGGAAATGTCACTTAATAGCAAATAAATATATTAATTTAAGGTGTGAGAAATACAACATGTAATATCAATTTAGAATACAACTTGTAATATCAATTTAGAAACAAATATCTGTAATAAAAATAATCTGTATTACAATAAGAAAAATATATGTTGTGATTCAAAGTAGAATGCAGAACAAAACAAAAGAAGATCAAAGTCTAAAAAAAAAATTTTACAACTTTAATTCCTACAATTCATTTATATGAATTGAAACAGCAATGTCTTAAACCGTAACCATAATGTATTAAATAAAAATCGCTTGAAACTGTTTATAACAATAATTGTTTGTTCTATATTAAAAAAAAAATCCTTTAAGTCATCAATATAATTTCCAGATGGTGATCTTGGTGCGTATGCTGATGCAAGGAAGGCATACATGAAACAAAAGCATCGCATGATCTGGGAGAGACGTCACGGACCCTTGTCCGATCAGACCAAGTGATTTATATTAAATGTTTAATAGTAGATATAATATATCATTGCAAATAAACAAATCCTAGTGCAAACAGTGTTTTAATACAGTAGTAGTATTTTGGAGTAAATATTCCTTATAGAATCATGGTAGTATGTTTCAAATATATTTTTTTACCTTTACATTTTAGAGAGCTTGATCTCAATAAAGCATATGATGTCCCATGGTGAACAGTTGTTATGTTCTACTAAAGTGTTTCTGTAATTTTTTTTTAGTTGTAAATAAAATATTTGGATCGAAATAATTATTTTAAATAAGATATGTCTCATTTATTCGATTTTAGATGTGGTTTAGTTCTCCCGTGTTTTACTGTGTCCGGATCAGTCTCAATGAAGTTGTAATGTCTATTATTTTACATCAATTTTGTCAAACATTGAAAATAGTGCAGTGTCACATCCCCGTATTTAAAAATTGTTCATTAAAGTGTTCTTTTCAAATTTGAGATAACTGATTTTTGATTAAGTGCAAGAGTCTGAGTGGAAGAAAGGGTAATTTAAAATGGGATATTATTTTGCATAGATTGCCAGGCACATACATACAACATATTTACATCTCTGCTTCCATTTCACAGAGCTATTGTAAAACGAGGTTCATACATTCTTAAAACATACTTCGAAGGCAGCCCTAATGGCTAATAGGCTCTTTTCAAAGCTAGCTCTTCTTTTCAAATTTTGTTAGATAGAGAGAGGAGCTTGGACGTCAGATAGGGACCCCTTAAACTTACACCTCGGCACCTGCACGGTGCAACTATGAATGCTGGGAAGTATTATCTCTTATGATATTTTAGAAATATCGGTAAAGGTAACTGTAAGAATAGATGTTATACAATGAAGTATGTGTTGCTGCTAACAGTTCTTAGAATCAATGAGAATTCCATTTTTGAAACTGAGAAGAATTTTCATATTAATTATATTCACCATGTAATTCTGTATACATTATGAAAAACTGAGATGTAATTTTAATATTGATTTAATAAGGTAAAACGTTAATTTCCAGAAAAAGGTAGCAAGTAAATAAAAAGACAATTTCTCAAAAAATAACATTTATCTTCCAACACTACAATCAATTTCATGCAATTATGACAAGATACAATTTCCAAACATACACCAATTCACTAGTTGGAACTAACAAGAAATTAAGGATCACAGAATTACGAAGACGTAGAACATTAAACTAACGCCTTCACTTACTGTATTCGAAATCTTAAAATCTAGCTTACTTAAAAAAAAATAGTTGTTGGTCACAAAAATAAAAACAATGTTTACTTAAAAAATACTTAAGATACCAGCTACAGTCTCGAGAAATCCCATAACATCACCATACTATAGAAAATAGAATTTCTCATATAAAAATTAAATGGAATTATAGTCACTTAGATAAAAAAAATAATACAACAGTAGAATGTGTGCTTAAATTATTTTGTCTTAATATTGGACAGGTGTTACGTTAAAGGCAGACTGGCAGAATTATACATTAAAATACATACAACACTACATCATAGCCGGCTAACATAGCAGAGAAATAATAAACTCAATCGGAATATTTGTGTTCCACATCAATACCGTACAATTATACGTAATAATATTAAATGTGTAAATAAATGTGTCACAACAGTACCAATTTAATAAATTATGTACACAATATACATTACTTTCATTAAAAAAAAAAACTTGTTACATATAATTGGACAAGTGATTCTATTGGTACAAGTTTATCACAGAAACATTATATTCATTATAAAAAATAACTTTATTGTTATTATAATTTTAAATATATCTAATAAAACTAATAATGATATAAGTAGTATACAAGATGATCGCTTAAAATATACAGCAACGGCAGTCATTGGAAACAAATTTTAGACTGGCCGTTGTATAATTAAAATTTACATTTAACCCTAACTATAATATGATTGAACTATAAAAATATATTAAGATTAAGATATTAATGTGGAATCACGAATTTTACCGTACACGTCCAAAACAAAAAAACATTGCACATCGGGCACAAGCACATATGAAACCAAAAAAAAATATCAAATATTTTTTTTCCATTAATAATTGACCCTTACATCTTTGTCGAAAAGTAAGAAATCACATAATAATTTAAATTGAATCACGATATAAAAAGTATAATCTAAATATAATAAATTCGAAATATTGCCATTTAAATGACCAAGTGCCTACGACATACATAATACAGTAATAATAATATAACTCAGTCATCTAAAGCCAGATTACAATATGTATTAGTACAATCAGTGGAGATCAATAGTTGAATAGAATTCTAAAAAATAATAATAATTATATTATGTAACATTTAATCATTATTATTGTACTTTAAATTGGCGTCTGTTAAATGTTGTAAGAACTTTTTATAAATTATAATCATATAGGCAGTATAGATTTGATATGTTTTGGTTGAAATGATACCACTAATAAGGTTATTTTGTGCAATATACAAAAATATGAATAACTTTTATGATATATATAAAATATATTAATGACTTCAATATAATTCTATCATAGAGAATTATAATTATTAAAATATTTTAAAGGCAAGTTGCTTTATATGAAGTTTCATTTAGTCAAATGGTTAAAAGAAATTTATAAATGTAGTATCAAGGGTTAAAATTATTAGAGAATATTATTATATAAAAAAAAACTATACATATGTAGAAATTAAAAAGATCAAATGTCTTAAAATCAAAGTAAAAAGTTCTTTAAACATTTCTCACACGCACATCTTAATCTATATACTAAATAGACACACAAAAATATACACAATCTAAAACATTATTGTTATAGACATCACAATCATTAGGACACTTAACATTTTGGCTTTAACTCAGACACCGACGAAGTACACGTTTATCAAAGAAAAAAATATATCAATAAAATATACATTGAATTTATACAAGATTCATACAACAAAAATAATTATAAAAGACAATACTTACAAATTGTCACACTTATTTCTTATTATTTCTTTTAAAAAACATTTAAGACATTTTCAACATTTAATAGAAAATAGATCATTAAAACCTTTTTTTTTTAGCGAACTTTATATATATATACATACATATAAAAGTTTTAATACTCTGTGACATTAAATACTTTGTGAGTTGATATTTAAAATACATAAAAACATATTCGCCGTATGTCTAAGTATATAATTATATTTATATTTTGTTGTGCTGCATGGAATGATTTGTTCGGTGGGTGTTTATGCTGCATCAAACTGTGCTGCCAAACGGGTGCGACCTGGGAATTATAATATACATATACAATAATTATTATATATAAATATTATGTACATAAAAAACAATAAAAGTTATTTAAATCTATTCTGATGTGTTAGCACTAGTGCAATGTTGATATGTCATTTAGAAGTGCAATGACATATTAAAACTCCATATTAAACAATTCAGTATTATATTAAAATTTAGTAATTTTTTTTATCATAGTCACATGTAAAAATAATCTATAGTAGTGTACAGTAGTTTTAGTCTATGACTTCATATGCGTTATGTTCAGAGATAAATTGACAAAATGTGTTTAAAATGTATGGTAACAAACCATTAGAGACATCTATCGTGTGTTAATTGACTTCACTAAAATACTGTTACGATATGTTTTCATGCAACGATTTTATTTTGATATCTGTCACATCACTGAAAAGTTACATCAAAACTTGTTTTGCATATTAAACTTAAAATTGCAATAGACATACATACATGATCGCCAACTTATAAAATCAGTCATTTTTTACTCTTTCAACTAAAAACTACTAAAAGGATTTGTATGAAACTACATTTAAGTAGCTTTTGATATGGGACTACGACTTAAACCATAATTTACTACGAAATTCCGTTAAATTTCTGAGGAATCACTCCATAATAATTGTTTTCGTATGAAGTCACATACCACAGACAATAGATGACGCTGATAGTAGATATATTACCATAATATGTATTGTTTTAACACACTTTATATTTCTGTCTGATGCTAATTCTAAAATCCCAGACAAAGTCGCGGTCAAAAACTAGTTGTATTATATATTACGTCTATTATCGTGGTTGAGTAGCGCAGTCGGTGTTGGTAGAGCGCTGGCCGGCGGCGAACACCATATATTCGTCTTCGGAGATTCAAAGACGCGGGAACCCTTGATAAATATTGAACAATTTATTATTACTATCTAGAGACTATTAATTTTTTTTTTAGTATAGTAACTAAAATGATTGTAGTGTGTGTATTTATATATGTATGTCTGTTTGTTACCTTCTGCCCTGGTGGTGTATCATGAAGTGAGTAATCTTCAGCACGTAATGAATACTCGGGTCTCGGTAATGTTACTCCGGCCGAGAGACTCCAGCGGCCATCACTAATATTGAACACACTGCGATGTTTACTGAGAAACGTATTCACAGCATCCATACCTGTTCATTAAATTTATTATTATTAAAGCATATTTGTATACTCTCATATATACAATCTTATTTAGTTTATATACATTTAGATATTCGCTCATATATTTATCACTTTAATTATTACTTGAATTTAATGTATTGCATTTATATGAGAGAAAAATAATAAGGCGAGTTAATTTTAATATCTACTTATAAATATCGAATGTTATCAATACTAACCTTGTTCAGAGTTAGGGAACGACGGTCCGTATCTCTTTGAATACTCTATAAATATCTCTACAGCCGTTACATTTCCCGGATAATCAGATAATATCTGCGCTACACGCCATATTGTGCGCCACGTGTTGGTCAAACAGACGTGACGCTCCGACACGTCGATCACACCGGACATCATTAGATTACTAACATCCGGTTCGACGCCATACAACGAGCGGAAGGCCGTCATGAAATATTCTTCAGTAGAACCTCTTGCGACGCTGCGATCAGCTGATAGTACGGCACACGCTGATAATGCAGAATTGGCCCATTGAGATGAATCACCGACGTGAATTATATCACCTTCAATGAAGCCACCAGCTGCGTATATGAAGGATTCGAGATTAGGAGCGTCTAAACAATCAGGTATAGGCGGAGCGCCGTACTGAGCGGCGTATCTTGATGGAAAGGTTGTAAGGGAGACGGGCGCCAAATTCTTCAGTCTCTGCGACATCACTGCTGTAGCAGTCTGTAGCCCCAAACGCACGCTCCTCTCGCCGGAAGTCTCGCAGTACACGCTTACAGCTTCCGGTATTAATTCGAACAGTTCCAGCAATTTGACACATCCGTAATGCGCAACACGTAATTGTCTGCCGAAATGCGCGTGATACGCTGGTACGAAACGCGAGAATTCCATTCTAAGGTTCGGTGTGTAGCATAGCAATTCAACCGCTTGTACAGCGAATTGAACAGTTCTTGTTCGTTCTTCGGGCGTTGGAGTTCTTCTTGGTAATGAGATAGTACCTTCAGGTGATACTATAACGCTTTGAGGAGACACCTTCTCCATGAGTTCATCCATGGTGCATACACCATAATCGATGGTGTTGAAAGGCCTGCCGATAGTCGATTGGTATAGCTGCGGCAGATCGTGTATGTGAATGACCCGGCCGGGTATGGCCTTCAATATCTTCAACAAATCCGACGTCCAACGCTTCCCTTGGGCGGCAGATGAGATCGTTATCACACGATACGACCCTGAGCCCAAAACCTGGAATGAGAACATATCATATCATATGATATCATATCATAATTTTTAACCACATTTGTACATATTGGTAGTTTACTAACCACGATAGTGTTACCCAATGCTGATAACAGATCTGGTAGTTTGGTGAAGCCGTAATCAGCTACACGACACTGACGACCGAAATGATGATGGAACGCGGGGATCAATCTGGATAATAATAATATTTTTCATATATATTTCATATAAATATGTAGTACTAACTTTCCGCCCGCTGCTTAGCCCGCATGGAGTTCGGTTATTTCGCGTTTCCAAGAGAACCTTTCAAAAGTTTGGGATAAAAACTATGCTATGTTCTTTCTCAAGGTCAACTCTATCTCTGTACCAAATTTCATTAAAATCAGTTCAGTGGTTTAGGCGTGAATGCGTAACAGATAGACAGACAGAGTTATTTTCGCATTTATAATATTAGAAAATGCAGATTTTAACAGATGACCTTAAAATTGTTAATTAAAATATATTTCTCAACTTATGAATAACTTTATTGTAAAGAATTAAATGTGTCATGAACTTAATACATTGGATAAACAATTTTTAAAGGAGCATATAAATTAAAAAGTTATTGTTTTACCTTTGTGTTACTTTTGGTCAATATTTATAACTGAATAAGAATTAATGATACGTTTATAGGATTTTCAAGATTCGTTACAATCTATTCTTATTTATTCGTCAATGATATTTTTTGATTTACATATTTAGTGAAGAAACAGTATGATTAAGACATATTTTTTAATCTACACACTATTGACTACATACTGTACGTTTGAAGTTTTTGATTCATTAATACTCTACACTAGATTTATGAATTCAAAAGCGGAATCATGAAAGCAGCGAGACTTGTGATGACAGCATTTGATTTAATTTTTTGAGATATGAAAAATATATTTCACTTAGCTTATATTTTCGTAGTTTAAACTCTACAAATATTGTTATTTCCTTACTTGCTGAACGGTATAGAGCATCTGGGGGCCGTTCTCAACAAATCAACCAACTCCCTCTCAAACAACGCCAACATAGGCTCTAAGGCGGGCGCTGTGCGTGGACGATCACGATCACTGCTGCGAGAAGTATCGCCTAAAATAATATATAATAAAAATTATTTATACAGCATGAAATTAAATGTGACAATAACACATTAATTAGATTAATATGAGAGAAAAATATTAAGCGTATCCTACTAATATTATAATTGCGAAAGTTTGTGAGTGTGTATGTTTGTTACTTCTTCACGCTCAAACGGCTGAACCGATTTTGATAAAATTTTGTATACAGGAAGTTGACGTCCAGGAATAAAACATAGGCTACTTCACATCCCGGAAATCCGCGGGTAACACCGCGGGACGCAGCTAGTATTAAATAAAACCTGCTTTATTGAGTAACATCTTTAAGTTAATCAATTGTAGTCAATCTGAGGATTTTTCAGAAAAAAAGAGTTTATATATTACTATAATATGATGTCTAATGTAGCAGTACAGGTGTTTATTTTATACATTGCTCTGACCGGGAATCGAACCCGAGATGCTCTTTAGAACGTTAAGTTGTTAGCGCTATAACAACACTTGAGCATGTTAGAAAAATCTAGTCATACTGAATTATATTTCTAAGATACGATCATTACAGCTTATTTAATAATTAATTAATATTAATGGGATAATTGGTTGCGTCATATAAATATATATATAAACTCACTGATATAACTGTGTGAGGGCGAATCAGTGGATGTTTTCCATGTTAAATGTCTAGAAGGGCTGTCTTTAACTTCCAACGTGTTTATACTCCTCAGTAGCAGTTCCAGGGCCACGCCGCGACGATTATCAGTTACTAACGACGGGAACATCGCCTCGTAGCATTCCACGAAACTGGGAAAAAAATTGTTATGTATATAGTAAATCAAGTTTTTTCTCTTCCATTTATGAATGAACAATCTGCCAACTATAACTTAGACTATGCTATATAGCTCATAACATACGTTTTGAGATGATAGTTCCCAAACAAATAGACTAGAAACTACTAAATTCTAATAAGAATTACCTCAACAACGGCAGTATACCGCCGTGATTCTCCAACAACACTTGCGTATTCTTCGCCAAAACCGCTATATCCATGTACACTGGCTGCAAGATGCGGCTTCCGTCTTCATGGCTAGTATTTAGTACCGCGTGTATGTGACACTTCCATGGCGCCTCTTCCGTTTCCGTGTTCACAACCGGTGTATGATCCACTAATTGGACCAAACGTCCGAAACCTTCGTGGATTACCACCGTATCTTTGACTTTAGCTATATCTGATGTAGTTAGCGCACAGCAATGCCTGCTAGCGTACGCATCTCGAAGTCTAAGTAGTGGCAGACTGAAGTTTTTTTGGTCTAGGAGTATAGCTCGCAGTCTAGACCGTAGTACGTCTAGATTGGGTGCTGGTGACGGTCTTCCCAAGGATAGTTCCAATCGTCTTCCGGCCCAGTTGTTGTCTAATCTTCGTTTGTGGACACGAGCTATAGCTAGACGTGCGTCCCATTCTGATCTCACTACCACAGTAGCCAATGGACCCTCGCCAGCCGCCCATACTAACACACGAACTACCGGTACGTATTGATTGAACAGTTTCGTCAGCATTTCCTATAATAATATAATTGTTATTAAATATCGACAACATAGCTATACTACTTCACGTGATTTTGTCTATAATCTAAACTGAGTTCGGTACTTTAGTAATGTATACTTAAATATCATACATTTTTTAAACCGACTGATATAAAATAAATCTTTCTTGCCATGTTCCTTAGATCAATACATTATAATTTATAATGCTAGTTACAGTAATTGTAATAGATACGGTATTTTAATGTCTAAGCTAAGTCAATGAAAAACTTAATAAAAATCCATTCAGCAATATTTGCAAGAAATACTAACAAACATACAAAAATAAAAAAATATGGTTTTGATAATTTCCCAGTGATGCAACTTAAACTATAGAATTACAAATACGTTATTCATAATTTCCTCTTAGTGCCCTAAGGGACAATATAAAAAAAATGTATTTTGTTTCAAGTCACGTATAGATAGCGCTGCTACTTGGTTACAGCATCTATTTTATTTAAATATCTATTTATTAGGGAAACACAGCATATCGTTAACTTTACATCACAACTTAATATAATAATCATATTTTAACACTTATGCCAGTTAAGTTTCCACTACTGTTTTAATAAGGAAGTGGACTTATTTTTATGTTACATAAATTATAACTATTTATGACAAAGTAAAATTTTAACTTAATGTGTTAAATATTTTTCACAAGATTATAAAATTTACTTAAACTATTTTTAAACAGATCAATGTGGTTGTGTTTTCTATTATGACTATTATAAGATCTTAGAATAAAAGAATTTTTGAAATAATTAATTTTACAAATTGGTATTGAAAAAGTATCCTGAGAGCAAGTGTTAAAACGAGAACATTTAAATAAAATATTACTGAGCAGATATGGAGAATCAATTAAATTATTTAATATTTTGTAAAGAAACATTTGGTCTCTTTGTTTTCTACATACGTTCTTCAAGTGGCAAAAAGATAGAATCAGGAGAAGTAAATTTTTATCACAAACCTGATAAATAACCTCTTGTTTTGCATATTTTAATAAAACATAGTTAATTCCCAAAAATTTGAAGACATATTTCAGACTGTCGTTATTAGTTGTTTATAGTTGTTATTACCTGTAATACTGGTGGATCATAAGGCGGTAGGTTGGAGACGGTTAAGTCTGTGTCATCCTCACTATGCTCGCTGACTGACGAATTCCAAGGAGACACTGCTCGGCTATGACTTTGACTGTGACTGTTGTCACGACGGTCATCACTGTTGGTGGACGAACAACCTGACCTGTCTAGACTGGCTGACCCTGGATGTACAGAAAATTGGTTAGTATGACAAACTAAGACACATGTGGCAGGGGTCAATTTATAATGGAAATATTGAATATGTGTGGTACAGTAAATATATAGTAAGTTATTAGTATATAGTGTTTGGACTTGAATAATAACCACAGTAATTTACCTATAAACTTGAAAGACAAAAAGATAACGAACAATTGAGGAGATATTGAATATTGAAAAGAATATTTTACACTTGATTATACTTATTTTATTAGACGATCTTGTTAAGATCTAACCAGAAAATATGCAAAAAACTGATAGACAAATACATTACAACAACAACAGTTACAGTCAAGAACCATCCCTACTAATATTATAAATGCGAAAGTAACTCTGTCTGTCTGTTACGCTTTCACGCCTAAACCACTGAACTGATTTTAATGAAATTTGGTACAGACATAGACTAGACTTCGAGACAGAACATAGCATAGTTTTTATCCCAGACTTTTGAAAGGTTCTCTTTGAAATGCGATATAACCGAACTACACGCGGGCGAAGCTGCGGGCAGAAAGCTAGTAAACCAAAAATTTAAAATTTAATAGGGTGTCGTCAACTACATAATTATGTACATTCTATATCGGCGGCTATAAGCAAAATATACTTATAATATTCTCGACTAAATGTGCACAATGACATTATTTCAAAGTCTTTTAAATTTAGTATTCTTTTAATATATCACATTGTTACCTTATAAAACTTGTAAAATTTGGAAGTCGTAAACTTTTTAAAACGCGATATAACCGAACTCCAGGCGGACGGAAAGCTAGTTAATTATAAGTTGATATACTATCATTTGGTATATCCAAGTTAATCTAACCATGAGTTCCTCTAATCTTTCGTGGTTTAGGTGCAGGCGGTGGGCAGAACTGCAGCGGTGGCGGTGTTGGTGCCGGCAGCTGCTGCAGCGCTAGAGCCCAGTCGCTTGAAGCGCTGCGGGGAGGATCGGCCGGCGGGGGAGGGGGAGGGGGAGGCTGGGGCTGGAAGATAATAATATACATACGATTAATATTAATAAGTATTATGTTAATACTTTGATAGGGGCCGTTCAAGTATTACGTAAGCACTATGGAGGGGCGGAGGGGTCTTTGTTTTGATTATTTTGGATGACATGGGGGGTAGGGGAGTCTAGGTGATGATTACGTCATCGGTAATTATTTACTTTTTAATCGTCACATCGAGAAGATCCATAAAAAAATATAATTTATATTTTTTTCTGGATTAATATGAAACAAAAAAACAATACAGTAATTGAAAATGTTTACGTAAGCATAGGAAGAGGGGGTAAGAGCTTTGCTTACTTTTGCTGACAAGGGGGATGGGGGGGGGGTAAATAATTGTAATAAATCTGCTTACGTAATACTTGAACGGCCCCATAGGCAAAAAATGTAGTATATAGTTAAATTTGGATTTTTATGAACTAACAGATACTTAAAATCGAGTATAGTTTGACATTATATGTATTTCCATGATGTATGTTAAGTGTAATTAAGTATTGATTAATTATAATTGAAATGTTTGATATCAGATACAAAAATTCTTACAATAAAGTGTCATTGAAATCAACAGCTGATTCAATGTGAGATAAGATTTATTGTACATAACAATATTAAAGTCTGAATCGTCACAAATAAACATTTATACTTAAAAGTTGATTATTGCATGAGAAACGGGATACGATGCAAACTTGTGGTAAGCATTACGATCTAATCTACGTGTAGTATATATGTATGGTATATATGTATATATTGTATGTATATATTGTAACTAACCTGAACGACAGGTGTAACAAACTGCGGCCTCTGGCCGGTGCTGTAACCCTCGTCACTGGAATACGTCGGTTGGAACGTTCGAGCGTAACGCGTACTTATTTTACGACCAAAAACATCCTCGCCGTCCATACGTTTTAAAGCTCTGAAATAAAATATATAATATTTATAAATTCTGAATAAAAACAATTTTAAGTTACTATTATTACAAATAGTTAAATTTAAATTGAAAATGTACAATGACTATAATACACAGTGACTGGATTCGAACTTTTGACTACTGGAATATATCTTTACAGTCACTTTAGCAACCGAGCTATCAGGCCGTAGGTACCAAACGGCGAATAAAGTACATATTCTATTTTAAGTTTATTTTACGATGTGCAAGGTTCAATAATGGTATACAGAAAAATAAGTAATGGTATATAACATCACGGCTTTAGTTTTAAATATCTTAATATTATTGGAAATATCTTTTTAGTGTAAGATTTTGAGAAATAATTTCCCAAAAATATAGACAATATAAAATAGTAGCATGGTAGAAGATATTTATTTAGTTGGACAAAAGAGTATAAAAAATATTATATAATAGATTAAAAGTATATAAAAATAACGCCCTTATTCTTTGTTACAAAATATATTTATTTTACTAACGTAATCTTGATGGTTAATAAATTATATATAAATGCAATAACGTTTAACCAATTTAAAACCGATTACTACTTATTAGAATAATTAAAAATATATAAAGAAAAAATACGTTAAAAATGAATAGATTTGAAATTTTTCATAAAAAATCTTATTCACCAGCGCCGAAGATTAAAAATATAGATTTCGGTTTTAAGGTATTAAATAAATATTGTAATATTATCAAGAAATCTTTATACGGTTCACTGAAAACGAAACATCCTTCAACAGAAACCAATGAGCCATGAAAATTAATTTGCTTCGATTAATGGCTGTTACTGTTACGTTTAAAGTTACACAGAATACATTTTTATGAAACTAATACCGTTCTGACATACATTTATATATATAAAACGCTACGAAAGCATGTAATACATAATATAATATTTAATATTACCAAGTAATATAAGGAAAGTCGTTTTAATTTCAAACACTAAATCGGTTATGTAGTGCGAGAAGTTTAGAAACTTACCCCGTTAACAGCATTTTATGCTGTGACAATATACATTTGCTTTCAAAGCTACACTATTAACATTAAATAACTTAAATTAATTATTATAATATATGATATATTAAATTATGTGTCCTCGCTAGTGATCGGCGCTGTAATGGCGGTTGCTAGTTTTTTACATCATACTGTTATATTAATATTATATGTGGGTAGGTTTAAAATTCTAAATAACGATATTGATAAGGCTGTGTTCACGTGTCTTTAGCATACTGAGAAGTATCCATTGTCTAACTATGCAGTATATAGTTTTTAACTCGTAAATCGTTTCACGAAAATATGTATGTATAGGTGTGGTATAATGGAAACAGTATATGTTAAATGTTAACTCGTAGTAAGAATACTGAAATTATAACACTACTAGATATGAAAAAAAAAATGATTTCAGTCTAAAAATATCAAGTGCTTTCTATATGGAAAGTTACATAATGTAACGACGAATTACGTGTTCAAAAAATTTCATATCTGAAAAATATATGTACTATGACTTTCACGAAGATTTCCAACCACTGGTTCGTAAGGCTCGACTGGTTCGACTGTGACTAAATTATCTTCAAATATTTAAAAGTACCTCTTCTATTTCTAAATTAGAAAAAACATGAATAAAAATTGGATCTATTATAGGTATTTTCTTTCTAATTTTAATCACGCGACAAATGTTACTAAAAAGGATCTTAAATGTTTAAAATAAATATTTTAGTTAAATACATAGAAACATCCAAACACAGAGTGTTACAAACTTTCTAAAAAAATGAAAGCGTGAAATTTGATATCTTCGCTTTTATGATATCAATACTTATAACAACATATTAAAATAAATGAACACTATGAATGCTTCTTTACAATAAACATTTTAAGCACTACCCTCTTTTTACTACACAATAATACGTACTAGAGAGAATCAGCTGGTCGCAGCTAAAGTTCAATGACCCCGATACAAATGTGATTTGTCACGTCATCATGTATATTTGAATTTAATGGTTTTAATAATTTAAGGAAATTAACGATCATTACTGAAAATCACCTCTCAATTATTAAGAACAATAATAAAGAATAAAAAGAATTGATTTATAATAGTTTTTCTTTAGTAATATTAAAAATTTAATACAAATGGACGATGGTCGTTAGATATAAGGTTTTTTACTATTTTTAACCATAAAATTTTTCCTTGTTTCGAAACTCACTTTGATATTGATAACTAATAATTATTTTATGGAAATGGTTGTGATAAAACGAGATCAAGAGCGCGTTGGGAATCTATTTCTGATTATGAAATTAATTATTCAATACAACTACATGTATGTGTATGTATTGTATTGAAAGTCATTTATATAACTAAAAATAAAATACAAATTATTAAAAAGACCGTTGCACACACTTATCTAGACAATAAATATGAGGCTGGGTACACATTCCTCTCAAACACATGTTGGTAATAGAAAACAAGTAGCATATATTTATTTATTCATGTGCCAAAAGTAGGAATAGTTACATTACTATAAAAGAAATGTGATGCAAAAAGGATAACCTATCTCTTAAAAGAGATCACTATCAGAAATCCCTTTGATACATGAAACTAGAAAATAAATATAGTATGAAATTCACCAGCTCACCTTGAAGCATGATCAGGTGTTGGAAACCTTAGTAGGGCCGTCCCAGCCCCAACTCTCATCACTTTGCCCCCACAGTTGTCGGCAAGTCTCAGTAGTCGTCTGGACACTCTCTGCGGTGGCTGGTCCACTGGCAGGTTAATGACCTCCATCTCACGACTTGGATCCTCTTCCCTGCCACTTACCTTGGGTAACAACGCTTCACTATTATCTATCACACATCCCCAACGGCAACAACAGCATGTATTTTTTACATTCCTCTTAACATTTCTCACATTTAAATGTATTTTCTGTTTGTTATGTATATTAAATCCTTTGTTCCACTGTTAACAATATTTCATCAAGTTTCACAGTGACTGATTTTATTTATATAGACATTAATGTTATATTTTTATTTGAAAACAAAGGAATGATAAAAAATAATGATAGGTAGTGCAACAGAATATTATAAAACAAAAATATTAAAAGTATAATAAAGTAATTTATAATATTATTAATATTGAAATTAAATTGTCATAGAATCATGGTAATCAAATTAGATAAATTTGAAAAATATCAAACAATAAATTTCACATAATAAATTAAAAAACGAAGAAGATAATGAGTATCTTGTGATAAAATTAAATGTACATAACAGTTTATATATAAACAAATTAATTTACTTACAGTCACATTCATATTTCTTGGTATATTAACAGTAAGTTCATTGTATGAGTAATGAGAGGAGGCACAAGCTATTAAGGCTGATGATGTATTCTGTCTATGCACCAATATAACTTCCATACCCTTCCTGGTAAAAAATATATTATTACATATATGTACATATTCATTACTAGTATCATCTAAGAATAATAACTCCATAGAAAAAGACATATAATAGTATGCATGAAATATCCATCAGTGATGTAAGTGAAAAATTATGATAAAATTTTGCAGTCATGACTTGGTCATGTAAAATATTTATTATTGTGTATATTTATAATGTTTTGACAAGTAATAATTGATTTCATTGTACAATTAATGTTTAGCTACTAATACTTAAGATAAAGTGATATTAAACCAACAAAATACTTCATGAATTTATTACATTGGTATTTAACAAAACGATTAAACATTTTCTCGTCTGCCTGTGATCATGGTTGCTATAAAGTAATCAAAACGTCGGGAGTATGTAGTTTTTTATTAAAAATAAAAATCGCGTAGTGCATCCGAAAAAAATTAGTTTCATTTAAATGAATACTGGCGAAAATCTTAGATCTCATTATTTTATTGGTTTGAATAGGCTTATAATAGAAAAACCAAGGCGATATTTACTTTGTAGCAACAAAAAATGCAACTGTTTTTTTTCAATGTACTTGAAATTTCAATTAGAACTTTATTTATTAAGTAGCAGTAAATAAATGTGCTTAGATTTTTCATTAGAACATGTCATACTTAATGCTGCATATTATTAAAATATATAATGTATTTTAAAATCTAAAATAAAAATATTACCCTAATACTATTAATAGTAGTGTATATTAAAGTTGAATTATATTGAATCAAACCTATGTCTAAAATCGCTAAGATCGGCTGCAAAATTGATGTCTCCCGATATAAGCAATAGGGCTGCAGGGCTTGAATGAAGCTCTCCAAAACGACGCATACATTGTCTTAGTTTCTCATCGGCAGCATTCTTCTGAGTTCCACACACATGGATCAGACTTACCTGATGAAATGTAAAAGAATATAATATTAAAAATATATATATAGCAGTTTAATTAATTACTCATTGTTATCACTAGGTTGTTTTAATATAAAGGAAAAATAAATGAATGTAAAGAATTGTCAATTAGAATCATTGTATAATAATATACAAAAATTTACAGCTATACTATTGTGAAGTAATGCTTCTATATTATGCAATAACATGATGTAAAGAATGAAGTTCTTTAACAAGATTGTCTTTAATCCTAAGAAGAATATGTAAGTGTCAAGTAAAAATATTTTTTATGTATGCTTATAATAATAATTATTTAACACAAATCCTAATCCTAACTAATAGCAATACAATGTTGTTACTCCAATTATTAATATAATAGAAAGTATGTGTGAAACATAATTATTAAGATTATGAGTATTATAATAAAAAAAGCTTGTATTAAATACTTAGTAAAGTTCTTTCAGTAGAAAGTCACAATTTTTACAGTTAACAAATAAGACAAAATATTATTTAAAATATGATTTCATCAATAATACAATTTCGAAGACATTTACCAAAAATATAAGATTATCATCATATTTTTGACTAATTCTCGAATAGACCTTCAAAAAGATATATAAAATAGCTATCTCGTAAAAAATTACTTGCTACATACTTGAGCATCATTGAGTTCCTGAAGCTTTTGTGGTGTTTCCTTCCTCACATCACAAACAACTACAAAATCTGCTTCCCGACGGCCTGTGAGGAACTTAGATCTGATTGCCGCTACTACATTGATTGCTGAACAGCCTCTAGGCACCTATTGGAAGCAATAAAATATTGAAGATTAGGTAAAATAGATTAGAATTCTTCTTTTATATGAAGATTTTAATGTTTACAATTTTCTGTAATGTTAATAACCATGCTTAAATGATGAACTCTTAATAACATGTAATATACTTCTTCTTCTACCTGGCAATTTCCCAGCTTTAGCCAGGGTCTGCCTTACATTTTGGAAATAGTTTTGGCTAATTGTTTTTACGACCGGCCGCCTCCTGACATCAACCCTCTTTGGGAATGCATTCATCAGTGATGTCTAGATATGCTTAGAAAGTACTTATGGCTCGGAAAAATTACATTGGTACTTGCCAGGGCCAGGATCGAACCCGCACCCTCGAGCATGAGAGGCGGGCCTTTTAACCACTAGGCCACCACTGGCTTAATGTGTAATATATTTCATATTAGATTTAATAAGAATGTGACAAATTACTAGTATAATTATTATTATTAGAATTGTTAGTAAGTGTACTAATGTTGCGATATAACAAAGTAAGTAAAGAAGTGTCTCATTGATCCAGCTGGTGAATTTCAATATGAAAAATCTGAATTTAAAATTTACATACCGGACAATTCTCTATATCCCAAAATATTCCAATAGGCACATTAACAGATGCCCTCGATTTGTGACGGTAACGTGATCTTATTCTCGTCCTTTCAACTGGAATGGTCCCGTCTTCTAATGAACTGTGACTTAAATCATCTGACGATTCATCTTCTACATCTAAAAACAAAAGATATATTTACTATTAATCTGTATTAAGATGCATCAACAATATATCCATTACTTTAAATATTTAAAGATAAAAGATTTTGAATAAGAGAACATATGTTAGTTGCATAATGCTGACCTGTTAGCCATAAACGAGGTGGTAATGGTATGTTCATTGCAGGGCTAGTAATATTGGTGGCTAGACCCTGAACGGAATGACTTCTTCCACCTTTATTTCTCACATAAATATCTGCACCTCTCGTTGAATACATTTTGCTCATTGTCATGATTTAACACAAAATGTTGCAAAATTCACTCTTATATATAAATTCTAACAAAAGCCACAACCAAATCTAGGCTTCTTGTTTACTGGATGGTAATAAGTACATCAAGCACGAAAACTTATAATAAATACTTAGATCACTACATAAAAGCTTAAACCTTAACGATTTGCGTCTAATAAAACAATTATATACAAAATGTAAAAACAAATTAACACTTTGCTCGTTGCTACGCCATTTTCAATACACACAGAACACAGATAATTTCCAAAACACACTTCCTAGATTTTAATCAATCATACGACATACACTTTCATCAGTCACGAAGTCACAGATTAAATATTTTAACTATTTAAGTCACATTTTTCATTTTCAAGTTCTTATCGAATATTGCATTTCAAATATATTTCGAATCTTAAGAAATTTTTAGAATGAATAATATTTATCGTGTACGATTTATTAATCACTCTCTTATTCTAATAGAAATAAAATTTAAATAAAAAAAATAAACCCAAACTTAAGACTTAACTTGCTTTTTCTCTATCATTATATACTTTTTCCTAAATGTTTTCATTTTAATACTTATATATCAAAATTCATAATTAGGTACCTATACAAATAATTTACTATAACTGTCATCTATATCTGTCAAGTGTCATCAGTAGTGAGCTTGCATTTACACGGCATAAAAATTACACAAAAGTAAACTGTCTTATAGTGCTTTATTCAGCGAAAAGTATTAAAAAACAATAGGTAGTATTATTTCTCGGTTAACAATTATTATTACATTAAAAAAGTCGTCATAGAGTCGGGTCAAATTTATATCTCCATTCAAAATGTTTCAGATATGGCTTCAAACGGTGATATTGGAAGTCTAGATGCTAGCGGCAAAATCATTAAAATGGAAGTAAGTATCCCCTTTCTAGGTTCTTGTAAATTAAACTAGGTTACTTGTAAAATCGTAAATTTACTCTGTACTTACTAATAAGTTTCTTTGTTAGGTGGACTACAGTGCCACTTGCGATGAGAAAATACCATTATGGAAATCCTGGGCTTCTAGTGGAAAGGTGCAGGAGGCTATAGATCAGCTACTGGCTTTGGAAAAACAAACAAGGACTGTAAGTATGAAATATTGGCAATGACTCCTAACACTATGTTTTTGATACTATAAATGGTTTTAAATGTACTGTGAGAATATTCAGGGTATATAAATAATTAAATACCAAAGTAAAAATTTGTTGTCTAGATGTAAAGTCGTTATAATAAGTATAAACTCTTTTCAGGCAGCCGATATGGCTTCCACTGCAAGGATTCTGGTTACAATAGTTCAGATCTGTTTTGAGGCTAAGAACTGGACAGCTCTTAATGATCACATCATTCTTTTATCAAAGAGAAGGTATTACTTGAATTAAAATTATATACTTAGACTTATATCACTTAGTTTATTTATTACTTTAACTCTACTGAAATACTGTGTATTTTCTTCCTGGCAATTTTCCCTTTAGCCAGGGTCATAAATAGTTTTGGCTAATTGTTATTACGACCGGCTGCCTACTAGACATCAACCCCCTTTGGCAATATCTAAATGTGTAAATCTAAGTTAATTATTGTGTTTCAGATCACAATTAAAACAAGCTGTTGTGAAAATGGTTCAAGAATGCTATACTTATGTAAACAAGACACCAGATAAAGAGACTAAAATAAAACTCATAGAAACTCTCAGAACTATAACTGAAGGAAAAATCTATGTTGAAGTAGAAAGGGCTCGTCTCACTCATATTTTGGCTAAAATACGTGAAGAAGAAAATAATATAGCCGAAGCTGCCAAGATAATACAAGAATTACAAGTTGAAACTTATGGTTCCATGGATAAAAGAGAGAAAGTTGAACTTATATTGGAGCAAATGAGGCTGTGTCTAGCTATCAAAGATTATATCCGTACGCAGATTATTTCAAAAAAGATAAACACGAAATTCTTTGAGGAAGATGATACTCAGGTAACATTATATATGTATGATTAAACATTTTAATGGGTCTAAGATTTTCAGATACTACGGGCGGTTTCAGACTAGCGTTTTATACGCGCGTATGAGCTGGTTTTTGGAAGCGCATGTAGGCGCGTATAGGCGCGCCTTTTGGCACAAGCTCAACTCGTACGAGCGTTGACGCGCTTCTAAGCTCGTATAAGCGCGAGCCAAAAGTAATTTTTAAATCGTTTAGAATCACTTCGCAGTTCTGGGTAAAGTGTATTAAAGTGACAGGTTATCAGTCTTGATGCAACTATCGGTGACACCCAGCACTTTTTCCGTCGTCTCAGTCGACGGCGAATAAGTACCTAACGCAAAAAGTAATGTTTCTTCGTCAGAATCCATGTTGATACTGACACGATACCACCGGTTCGAGCGAACACGCCGAAATATGCGCGTTTACGCGCGTCCGGGTTTTTGAAGCGCGTAATGTAGCGCGCGTGTAAGCGCGTATACTGAAACGACCGTATACGCGCTGAAAAAAACGCTAGTCTGAAATCGCCCTACATGTTTTTTACTATTTATAACTATGTAACCACAATATTTCAGTTTCTTTTTAGTAACCATGATCATGGGTACATGAGATGAAAGTGTCATTAGTTTTGTTTAGTGTCATTTTAAACTAGCTTTCCGCCCGCAGCTTCGCCCGCGTGGAGTTCGGTTATGTCGCGTTTCCAAGAGAACCTTTCAAAAGTCTGGGATAAAAACTATTCTATGTTCTTTCTCAAAGTCAACTCTATCTCTGTACCAAATTTCAATATAATCAGTTCAGTGGTTTAGGCGTGAAAGCGTAACAGACAGACAGACAGAGTTATTTTCGCATTTATAATATTAGTAGGGATGAGTACATGAAAATGTTAAAAATATCATATAATATGTGTACAACAGTCAGTGTTGTGTTGTACATTCTAACCACACTTTATCTTGCTTAAAACTCACAGCCTTAATATATATTTATTTTAATATTTCCATATTTGTTAAATCTCCCTAGCAATCTCCCTAAGATTTTTCCATATGCAACCGAAAGTCTCAAACTCCTGTCTTACTACTTCAATTTCTTCTTAATTTTTCTTTATTATTCATGCAATGTGGTTAGGGAATGCCTTATATATAATAGTTTTATGAATATTTTTGGTTTTATTTCCATTCTACATTCATATTTCTCATGTAAGAGCTAACTGGAAAATATCTCTTAAAGCTTTAATTTCATCTATTGGCAACCTTATTTTGTTTAAATTTTATTCTAAAATATTTTTAAACAAATTACATACAATACAAAACTCGATTAAAATGTTGTGAATGAGAAATTTCGCTGAGTTTCTTTCGCCGGTTCTTCTCAGGTCAGGGTATTGTATTTTCCGAACCGGCGGTAGTGTCTCAAGTGACCATCAATAAGAAAGTGTAATGCTTCTATATTGAATAAAGTTGTTTGAGTTTATAGAATGTAATTTAAAAAAATCATGTATTTTATCTTACAGGAGCTCAAAGAGAAGTTCTATCGTCTCATGATAGCTGTTGATCAACAAAATGGTCAATACCTCTCTGTGTGCCGTCATTTCCGAGCTCTTGGACAGGCTGGTGGGGCCGATGCCCTGATTGGTAGTGTGGTGTTCCTTATACTGGCACCATATGACAATGAACAGGCCGATCTCACTCATAGACTCAATGAGGATAAAGATCTGGATAAACTGCCCGAGTATAAGTAAGTATGAAAGCATTCTTATTACATATAGGAGCTGATGGCTCAAATATTGAATTGTATCTGAAGCTTCTTTATGAATATTTATCTTATATTGGTTAATACATTTTTACTACAAGCTAAGATTAACAAATTATTATATCAAAAACAAGGCTTCCTTAACTCTAAATATAATGTAAAGTAGCCTATGTGTTATTCCTGCATGTCAGCTTCCTGTATACAAAATTTTATCAAAATCGGTTCAGACGTATGAGAGTGAAGAAGTAACAAACATACAAACACACTCACAAACTTTCGCAATTATAATATTGGTAGGATGGCATATCAAATGATAAGAAATCAACAATTAATTTGCTATAGTAAATTTAATATTTTGAACATTTTTGGTACAACTAATGTATAAAATTTTATAGAATCTATTTTAAGATTTGTTTAAAATGTTTAGGAACTAAATGTTTGTTGTTTATACAATCTACTATGTTTTTTTAGACAACTTCTCGGTTTATTCATAACTCCGGAGATCATAAGGTGGAATACATTATGCTCCACCTATGAGAAGATGCTGAGAACAACTCCTTTCTTCCAGAGCAATGATGAGAAGGGTCAAGAGCGTTGGAATGACCTCAAGAATAGAGTAGTCGAACATGTAAGATATTATTATACACATTAGATAATCAGTAATATTAAACAGTATCTGAAATCAATAGTAATAACATATAAGTCTTACAAAACATACAGATATTAAATACATGGAGGTTGAATAGGGATTTTTTGTTTTAAATTATTATAGGGTTGTCACAAAACTTTCATGTACTCAAAAAGGAATTATTTGTTCTAAGTATTACAAATACAGAATATGTAACTCTGAAATGAATTCTAAATTTAATAGTTTAATCCTTATTAATGTTTATTTCAGAATATCCGTATCATGTCAATGTACTACACTCGTATAACGATCCAACGTATGAGCGAGCTTCTCGGTCTTAGCGTTACTGAGACAGAGGACGCCTTGAGTCAACTAGTAGTGAGCGCGGTGGTGAAAGCTAAAATAGACCGACCGGCAGGCGTGGTGCACTTCAGGTACACTTTACAAACCTGTACAGTATGATTTATGAAGAATAAGAATGTTCATTGTAGATTGTCTGGAATAAATTGAAATTGGGTTGGTTAACTTATGACCTAAATTGTAAATTTTCATCAAAACATATCCTATTTCTTTGGTAGACAAGTTAACAAATATCTATATACACGTCATGTTTATAATAATTGAAACTAGTATTTTACGGTTGCTGAAAAGTAACCGAAACGTCGCGTCGGGAGTATATAATTTTTTTTAATTAATAAAATACGCATTTTAATAATTTCATTTAAATGAATACTCGCGAAAGTCTTAGATCTGATTATGTTTATAATATTTAATTAATTATAAAAGTATAATCAATTGTATAGTTCGACGGTAAACTTCAAAGGTTTATTTCATTACATATTCAAATACGACATCAAAATTAATCCTTCAGTTTTTAAACATAAGATATTTAATAATTTTCAGTTTGTTTTTTATTTTCAGATTAAATATGGACGCGTCCGATCGTTTGAACGAATGGTCCAGAAATTTGAACACTCTGATGCAGCTCGTCAACAAAACGACTCACTTGATCAACAAAGAGGAATGTGTTCACAAACATTTGTTAGCTACTTCCGAATAAATAATTATAAATTAATTACTAAATATAATTTTATTTTACTTCAACATTTATTCTATTGAGACTCCAAACTAAATTTGTTACTCGCATAATAAACTAATTTGCGTTTTGAGACTAAATGGATTGTCTTAAAAGATATTTTTAAAAGGCAGTGTCATAACAATAAGAATAGATAATAAATATTATTTGATTGACAGGTGTTTTATTTAAATGTTAAATGAGGAATTAATTTTTGGTACATAATTATTTAAATTTCTTTACGTAAGCTTGACTTGTTAGTCGGTCAATGCGAGAAGTGTTACGGAAAAAACACAAGTTGTGAGAGAGGTTTTACTTAGTGAAGATAGAAAAAAAAAAAACATGTACAATATCACTGTAGGTAAAAGAGTTGTTTTAAAATTTTCTTTCCCTCTCTTCACTCTTGCAGTTACACTGGAACTAAATCCATTTTGATTCAGTATACATACTTATCTAAAGTAGCTGCGTAGCACATAGTAGGTACATATAAAACGATACGGTTTTTTTTTCATAAATCTTCCCACATTATAGGCGGAACACAAGATACACCTCATACGATCCGGGACTATCGTTAGGCGGTCAATGCATTTCTACGGTTACGGAAAATGCACCATTTAAATTTCTCGGTCGTAAGATTGATAATATAGGCCGTACTCCATCTTTAGAAGGAATAGTAGATAGCTTTTTGAACGATCTTAACAAGGTAGATAGCCAACTGATCAGTAACGTCAAAAAAGCGTGGATCTACGATAATTACTTACTTAACTTCACGTTTGAATTGGGTTTCCTCGTCTATGATTTTAATAAAACCCTTTGTCAAAGTTAGATGCAGGCGTCATAAAGATGTTGAAGTTGTGGCTCGGGCTCGCTCTAACGGCTGATTCATCGGCGTTATTTAGGGGAAGCAATAGTTTTGGGATGAGTCTAAAAAGGCCATCGGAGCTCTATAAACACCTAAGAGTTTCCAAGAGATATATCCTGGGGAAATCCCATGATGACATAGTGACATCGCTCCCAAAAGATGAAGATGCCCCCGAGCTAGAGTCACGACTTCAATTCCATAAGCAATTTATGATAGGAGCGCAAAGTAACAGAGCGGGGTTAGGATCAAATAGGAAAGTCCAAGATGCGGATATATTGAAGTCTTTTATTCGGCAAGACGAGAATGATAAATACAAGATCCATGCAATGAATTTAGAAATGCAGAACGAGTGGTTAGACATAGGAGATTTTTGCATCCCATTAGCATTAAAATGGCGCACTTTAATTTATGATTGGTCGCCAGCATTGCTAAAATTCTATCTCAATGCGTTCCAGATGACTCTCCCAGACCAGAGTAATTTAGTAAGATGGGGTAAAAGTACCGAAAAAACTTGCTATATCTGTGGAAAGGCAGTTGGAACTGCTAAGCATCTGCTGGTGGGATGTAAGGTACTCCTTGACAGCGGTCAATACTCGCGTCGTCACGATAGGGTTCTAGAAGTCATACGTGAAGCGGTTAGTCTTTCGGTAGCCAGAGCGCAAAAGGGAATAACCACAAACGAACGATCAGTAGGTTTTGTGAGAGAAGGCACTAGGGCTACAAAATCAAACGTCAAGCCTTACTCCATCCTTAAAGCGGCGTCGGATTGGACTATAATGATGGACACGTATGAAAAACAATATAAAATCCCCGAGGATATTTGTGCGTCGGCCTCCAGACCGGATATATTTTTGTTTTCGCGAATTTTAAAGCGCGTAGTGATGATAGAGTTTACGGTCCCTTGGGAAACCAACATCCCCAAAGACCATACCATCAAGGTCAACAAATATTACGAGCTCACAAACGAACTCACGAACGAACGAAAGTAGATTTGTACGCGGTAGAGGTGGGAGCGAGAGGTATAACAGCGAAATCTCTCTACAACCTACTAAAGGACTTGGGCTTGTCCAGAACTCACTTTAATGCATTCTTGGAACGTATATCGAAGGCAGCCCTAGTAGGTTCTTTTCAAATTTGGTTAGGTAGGGAGAGGAGCTTGGACAGTGGAGGTGAGCGTATAACGCGTGTTAGTGAAGGGGCCCCTTAAACCTACACCTGGGTAGCAAGTCCCAGGCACTGTTGAAGCTCCTCTCCCTGCAACGCGATGGACCCGGCACCCGCACGGTGAATCCATGGAATGCTGAGAAGTTTCGTCTCTGGGACACGGGAGACGTTTATATACTCTGACGATGTATGTAGTATATCGCGCCAAAAGAATCCTATGTTATGCTAAGTTTTACATTTATACTTGATTTTATTAAACAAGATATAGTTTTGAATGGTACAAGAAATTGTAAATATATAAAGACCCATTCAATAAGTCAAAGAACAATTGAAAATCCTTTGGACTTATTTAGTTTTCACTAAGAAAAAAAGATTTTTTTTCTTGAAGAAGAAAGTCTCGATAAATTCATTATATTAGACAATAATACTGCATCTTAGAAGAATAAGCCTAAATTGCAAGTTTTAGGTCAAAATCAAAAGCTTTCAAGATACTGTCTTGTATAGCAATACTCATAAGCACTTAAAAATTTGCAAAATCTCTTAGTAGTGTTAAATTAAATTTAATATCTTGTTCTAGTGACTACACTACAATCATGGAGTCACAAATTTTGCATAATAAATTTGACGAGAATTTATTTTTGAATCTGGATCAATATACAATATCCGAATTCTAATGATTCATAAGATTATTAAAATTATCTACCTATTTGTAATCTCCACTTATCTATTACAAAACAGAAGCAATCTTAGTGGTTGTATTTTAAATTATTTTCTTATGACCATATTCACTTCAATCCTGTATTAATTAAGCGATCTCACTATGTGATAAAATAATAATATTTATGACAAAATAAAAAAAATCATAGAAAGCATAGTACGGGCCAAAAAAATGAGATCACATTTTTGATTGTCTATCAAAGAGAGAAATATTAATACGGTTCAGACAAATAAATCTCGGCAAAATATACCATACATCTATAAAGAAGGTAAATTATTAATTCAATAACATAAATACAAAAAAAAAACATTATGTTACACAAAATAATTTAAACTTTTGTCTAAGTAATCGGATCCAATAAAGCAATCCAAAATACAATTTAAGCAAACGATTAAGGAGCAAAGTACCCTTAAATATATCACGTGAGATTCATAAATTTTCAAAATATTTTTCATTGCTCCGACAATACTACAGTGGTTTTATGTTCTTTTTTTCATCTTCATAACTTGAATTAATTAAAAAACAAAACAGTCATATATATTTATAAAATATATCCAATAACTAAATTGAAGGTAACCATAAAATTTGCTTAAATCAATATCTGTCTTAAAATACTCATTAATTTAAAACTACAGGTCAGTCAGATAATTTATCTATACATATGCCTATAATCGTATTAAAAGTATTATTTTTAAATCGGTCGTACAAGTTGAGCAAATCATAAAAAGATAAGATAGAAATTGCTACCTAGTGATATTATCGGTTAATTAATAAAGTTCACTTTGAATGCGGTTCAATTAAACGTGTGTGGAATTAAAATTAACAAAATGGTTGAACTTTTATGTACCGTGGTTGTTTTAGTGATAATAATGTTAATATTTCAATCAATGAACGGGTCTCGTAATCCACCAATATTCGGTATTTATCAGCAGAGAAATAAAACGTTTTGGTTTAAATACGTTTTAATGTTCAGTTACCTTAAACTGAGACAGGTATGTGAAGTTATCGTATTTGGTTCATCTATATTAATGATATTACTTCTTGTTTATTTATAATTACTACTATAACAGCTGAATTTAATTTTTAGTTAATCGTTTATTTGAAACATATTATTTTCGAAGACACAACTAGAACTGAAAAAGGTACAATGCATGTCTGGAAATACCAGGCTAAATTGGAGCAACTTTACGATCTTGGAGATTTCAGCAAGGTAAGGCGTAGACTACGATGTTTAACATTAAGTATTCTTACTACAAGTTTGAGTTAACAGATTTAATTTCTTTCACTCAAAATTCATGCGTGAGATATATTGCAAATGTTTTATATCTACTGGATGAAAAGTTTCTAACGGTACTGATATATAAATAAAGATTATTCCTTTTATTTTAAATTATTTAAATATTTGGAAGATGAATAAAAGAATATTATGTGTTTATGAGCATGAATAAATTACAGTCAGTCGACGGCGTCTACTTTAATGGTATGTCAGAAGACGGTGAAGCATTCGTGTGCGGATTAGCGAGGAGACCAAATAGAATTTGTGATGCATTTATTTATTTGAAGGTACTCAAATTCTTGCTAACCATACTTATATTTTAGTACAAATCCTTCTAAAGCTCTAAAGGAATTTTAAATCTTATCGCTTTATAGGTTAAAGACGAGGACCTTCTATTAACACCCTCTCTTCCTGACACGTGTTTAAAAAAATCATCTGAAGATGGAGAGGGTCACAATGTACAAGGCATCAGTATCAAAAACTTTATTCCTATGAGAACATGGAATATATCATACAACGGTGAAATGAAGTACGTATTATAACACTTAAATTTTCTTACATCTATATAAGAAAGATACCCTTAATAGTTTTTAAGATCCATTTATTTTTGAATCTAATTTCTCATCGAATTATTTTGAATAATCAATCAAAAGAACTTGTTATATATAATCGCAAATAAATGTAATTAAGTATATTTTCTCCATTTTCTTTCAAACTCCTATTTAATTTGCCAGTTATTTTCTCTCATCAACACTACACAAAACATTTAGATGACAAAAATCGTCGTCGATTTTCATATTCTTACATCACATATTACAAAAAAATGATTTAATCCTACATAATAATTTTCAGGACGAAATCTAACACTAAAATGCATGTCAACGCTGAGTTGGTTTGGAGCGCGCTATGGTCTCCTTATGAATACGACACTCAAATGTCGGCTAGTTGTATGGCCGAGGATATATCGCGGGAACCATGGTCGAGGGACTACTTCAAGTTACTTAAAAAGTACGCAAGATATATTACTTTTATTGTCTATATATATGTAGGGATGCAAAAATTTTACTTCATAGCCAAACCAAGGTCTAAAGTGGTTCGGCTTAACTCTAAAGCCTGTGCATGTATTCAAATATTTTCTTCTATTTCATTTTCGGCATAGTGATATTCCTTATATTTTATAAACTTTTTTGCTTATTGATTGAAATTGATTCCACAATAATGAGTGATGTCGTTTCAGGTTGCATCAGACGCATTACGAACAAATGGGTTACATTTCAGGAAATGTAAAAATTAATGAAAAGACTTATAATATCAACATGCCGTGTGTCAGAGATCGTACTTTTGGTGATTATTACGTTTACAAATAATGATATTTGCTATTTTTCCTAACCTTAATATATTTAAAGTATATTTTCAGGCAGACGACTCAAACTTTTGCTAAACAAATATATTATTTTTTTACAGGTCAATTGAGGGAGTGGCGTAATTTCCACCGTTATGTCTACCATTTTATATTTTTACAAAATGGCGACTTCATAGCAGTGGGCACGGTATCTCAGCCTTCAGTTTTATCTCAGTGAGTTAAATATTATATAAAACCTTCATGGTTACACCATACATTAAACAATTCTTATATTTCAGTCTCACTATTGGCTACGTCTGTAAAAAGGAAAATCAAACCGTAATAGCTATTAGCGGCTCAGATTTCAAGTTGTATCAACACGGAGAAAACCAAATAATGCCTCGTGATTATGGCTTCATATTCCAAGCTGGTGAGTTAAAAATCCTATATATATAAATTGACCATAGTACCATTTTTTTTAATACAAATATTTCACTTTTAATGTTTATGTTTTTCATATAAATAGGTGGCGAATGCTACGCGGTGAGAGTGGAAGTAACGAATGAAGAATCATTCTATATAGGAAAAGACAGAGAGGCAAAGTTTTACGAAAGATGGAGTAAAGTTCAAGTTAATGACGTGAAAGGCTGGGCTTGTGTCGAGTGGCATTATAATAATACAGTACAAAAATAAAATTCAAAAAAAAAGACGCCATGATTTTAATTCATTATAAAATTGGCGCGAAATAAATTTATTATTATTAAAAGCTTGTTTAAATTCGAACCTTAATAACATAGAATTAAGATTGAAATTCGAGTAACAAATCGTCTATTCATCCGAAAAATTAAAGACATTTTAGCGAGAATCAGTATATTTAGCATCATAAGTAGGTACAATAAATAGTTGTTCTATATCTATTAACGGACTAGCGATTTGTGGCTTAATGTTTCATTATAAGTACCTGAGACAGTATCACATGCTAGGCTCATTAGGCTGGTAACACACTAGTCTTGGTTGAATATATCGCTTAAGTGGTTTTCATATATATACTTTTCATGAGCTATCAAGAGTATTTTCAGCCGTTACTCATTTATAAATCTTATATCTAGTGTGCGCTCACCCTTAAAGATTCGGAGCCGGATTTAATTTCGGCCAATAATAACTTGATACAGGATTGCAACAAGTCTTTTTAAGTCTTAACAACTTTAAATGTATTTTTAAAGAAAATATATAGGTTTTCCATTCATATATGAATAAGAAAGTATCGGAAAACTGATACTTATGAAATTTATTTATTTAAGTTAACATTTTAATATTATGTTTCGAATGCTTTAGTAATCGCGTCCAAATGAAAAATGAATGAAATTTCATTTAAAATTATAGGCAAAATACATTTGAAATGTTTTCGATCATTATGTATGAAAAACCTTGGTACACACTAATACTTCAAATTGCAAACAATTCATATTGTCTATTGAATACTGTAATACATCTACAACGAGCTCTGTTTTTTGCTACAAGTTGTTCAATTAATATGAATTTACAGTTCGAAAATATTATTAGCAAAAAACATAGCATCGCATTTAATGGAAGACAAGGACATACAGTTACATGGCAAAGTATTTAAAAGAGAAAATGTAATAGCAATTATTATGGAGCTAATATTAAAATATTATGAATTTAATATTCAAGTATTATGATGGTAATATTCAAGCGATTTTTATACACACTAAGCAAACTGATTTCTATTAAGATAAATAAATAAAATCAAACAAATAAAAGTACTGTGCACCAATTAGAACTAAGGTAAGCGATATACGCACTATAATATAATAAATATTTAAGAGCTGTGAATAAATATTTTATTCAGAATATTACTAAATATTATTTTTTATGTATCAATTGACTTCCCGAATTATCATTTCGTGTATCAAAAGTTTTATGACCCGATTATCATTTATTGACAAATATTTTTTCTATAATTAATTGGAATGATATCAAGACTAGAATACATTTTATATTTATGTAACATTTGGAAACTTTATTCAGAATTTATTACCTACAATTCATTTTTTTATGATATATACAGGGTGACTGGTGAATTACTATCAATATTTAAGGAGAGTACTTGGTACATGATTTTCATTCGAATTATGTTCTCATTCGAATTAAAAAAAATAGGTAGTTAATTTTTGACCAAATTCCCGTATAAATAAATAAAGTGTGGACACGTTCCAAGTGTGGACGCGAGCGGCGGCGTGCTGATACAACACCACGCCGCCGCGCGCGCGCGTGTGTGTGTGTGTGTGTATACCTAATCTGTAGGGTGTTCACACGATGCGTAATTAATTACATAACTTTTGGTTAACTTTACTTGGAAGTTTATTAATATTTATGTTATATTAATTTTTATTTTGTCATATATGATCGTCAAATATCACGTCTTCAAGTATCGATAGTAATTCACCAGTCACCCTGTATATTGATATCTAAGATTTTCGGACGTACTCATTTAAATGAAACTAAGTTTTTCGGATTCTACGCGATCTCAAGACTAGGGAATTAAGAAATAGATGGCATTAGATGATAAATAACAAGACTTACAGATATTCACATCTCGTCTGCCCGTGATCACGGTTGCTGAAAAGTAGCCGAAAAGTCTTGAGTATATAGTTTTAACAATAATAAAATACGCGTAGTATAATCCGAAAAATATTACTTTCATTTAAATGAAAAAGACAATTTTACTAAGCATTTTGATTAGAAATCGTATATTTTATATTTATATACATTTTTTATGACTGCAAATATCAATATTTTTGGTCATAAAAATGTTTTAATATATTACATATAAAATATACGATAATCATTGTAATTACGTTGAATATTTTCTCATATATGTCGTGATATCATTATATAAAGAGTTATTAACGTGCAACACGATAATCGTAATATTTATACAAATCACAGCGCTATATTCAGAATGTTTAGAACATCTCATAAGACAGTATCTTGTAAGGCAGAATTTAACCTAGATGGACGAGAGGTCATTGAACTAAGCTAACACATTCAACCGTATTACCGCTCGGTTGAAAATCGGCTGAACATTTAAAGCCGTCTAAAAACGCATTTATAGCATATATATTAAGGTTTAAATTCAATAGTTCTGATTATAAGTTTGAAAATGAGTTATATATATAAGTAATATTTATATATTTCAATTACTGGGCGGTCCCGATGGTGTGATCACATAAGATGAATTCTTAAAAATTATCTTCAATTTTCAAGTATATTAAAAATGATAACCTCCATACAAAAATTGTATGTCAAGTTTATATGAAATTACCTCAACAATTACACTACAACTAGCAACACTGACTAGACCTAGAAAAATATATGTCCTTTCTTTAAGTATTTACGGTAATAAAAAAAAATATGTAAATAAAAAAATTGTGCTAGAAAACTTAATTTCCTTCCTATAAATAATACTACAGTATACATAATAGATAATGGAATTTAAACTCTAAGCTACAGTAATAAGTCATACATTACAATACAAAGCAAGAGCACATCTAATTAATAAAAAGCTACGAACCACAGTAAAACATCCAAAAAATTAAATTTTATTAGCAGAAAAATGTCTTTTCATAGGAATATTGGCCCCGGAGGTAAAAATAGGAGAATAGATACATCTACATAATTACATGATTTTAAATTGGGGCTAACATACTTAGGATGTATTAAGCCGAGTACATATGTAAGGTAACGATTATTAACTATTTTATTACTATTGACTAGAGATAATACATAATTACATTCTACGTACGATTCATGTTAATACAATTCAATTGTATTAAAAATATTCATAATAATAGTAACTTGTACTACATATTTACAAGAATCTTACGAAGGATGTAAAAGAAAAAAATTTAAATATCAACAAAATCTTACCATGAAATAAAATTGTACAACATCAAAAATGTATTTAAATAGACAACAAAATAATATTCTTTGGTATAATAAATAACAAAGTAAAAAAAACAATTCATTTTACATAGAAAATTTGTGCACTACTGATTTCATCAAAATTACCAAATTTTAGTTTGAAACATAATAAAAATAAACAATAAATCTTTCAAATATTAAATTAATTTTCAGTTATAATCTATTAATGTACATTCCATTTATATTTAAAATAAATAATACTGTCAAACATTGACTAGTCTGTGAAAAACAGATAATACTTTGGATACCGCTATTAACATACTTAATATCTGTCAGATGAGCAAATTATTATAATAAATAATTTATCTGTATAGTTTGTGTTAAAAAAATCCACAGACTATATACCAATCCACAGACAATTATTAAAGTTTTTTTTTTAATTTCATGGAACAATTGATTGTATTTATTCTGCCATGTATATAATCTACTGTATATTACATATAGCTGATGTACCGGGCGCGTGATCCAACAAAGCTCGTCTTCTCTTGATGCCTTCAAGGTATACTTCACGGTTGAACAAACCGGCTGCTAGCGGCACACTGAAACATTATATATATTATAATTATAACATATCGTCGGGGATTTATTTTATAGGATCACCAACAGAAATGACAATAGTATTACAAATATTATATAGTAAACAATTGAATACACTTGTATTTCTTTTTATAGGTAATCACAGCATGCACTAAATATATTAAACATTAGTAATTACCACAAGATTGTTGGATTACTACCATTGGATAATCCCGTGTATCTACATTGGAAGCAGATTTTCAGAAGAAAGTTTAAGCTTAACAAAATAAAACACTAAATAATTCCTAATTGTGAAAAAATTACCTTAGAAATCGTTAACCTAAAAAAAATATTTCACTTTAAACTTTCTTCTAAATCTTCCAATGTAGATATGCGGATTTGTACTATCCCGCGGCGATATGACTTCTATATATTTAATATATAATTTAATCTCTTCTAAAATAGAATTCAGTAAAGAAATAACATATAACTGCTTGTTTGCTATCACTATGCAAATTTATTAATCACTAGATACTTTCTAAGAAGTTTGTAGTCCACATATTTGTTTTATATTTCAAACCCCCCCATATTTCTTTTCCAAATATTTGTGTTATCTATTAGTAAGTTAAACCATCCCCTTTTAGGCAACCTAAGTAATATAATTGCAATACAATATAACAAATAATAAACATATTAAGTGATATCTTACACATCAGTCCCCGGTCTTAAAGCCGCAGAGTATAAAGCCCATACTGGCTTGTGATCGCTTGTTACAACACTCTGTACAGAGTTGTACGCTACACACTTCAGACCAGAGCAGGGAACGGTGCTTATACGACGAAGACCTGGAAACAGATATATGTATACAATTAATTCAAATGACGACTGTTTTTGTTTTTATATACTTTTTGCCCGCGACTTCGTCCGCGTTAATTTCGTCATTAGTAATATATGTATAGCTGACCAGGCGAACTCTATTCCGTCTTAAATAACCAGCTATTGGTATTTCTTCAATTTTTCCTGTTTCAATCGAACAGAATGATTGACATATTAATAAGTTGTCAAATCTAATATCAACGTTTTCATGGGAAATAGAAAAGTGCTGTTTTTAGGGTTTTCCCGGAAATGACAAAGTCGTTACAAAGTATATGTAATTGCTATATATTTTAGTAGTTAAATAAATCAAATGCAACCAGTAGCGACACCTATTGACGATATCATGTAAAACAAGTTCGCACTCCAATTATGGTTTTATTATTGAAAATCAAATTATTCCAATCACAGCTATATATAAAATTGATTAAAGGCAATATTACATGTTGTTTTTTTTTATAAATTTATTTAATAAACCAAGTGCCAAGTAAGCACTGTATTAATTAAGCGTTTTCCTTGTGCAGTAATTAGCTGGTTCAGATCTATCCGACTTAATGAATGGTAGCACGCTGTAAAATATCTTATTATCATAACAGCAAAGTACATTTCATTGTTATATTATATCGTCGATTAAATTTTAACAGTGGTTATTTTTAGTATAAATTCCAATATTTTTTTTTTCAATAATTCATTTATTACAAAACCTAATATTATCCTATTATAGTTTATATACCTGAGAAGGCGGAAGTGTTAGCGCCCATGGACCTTGCCTTGTATAATATACGATCAGTGTAGGCCGGGGCGCGCTGTTTGCTTGATGTATCAAATTGTTGACTGCCAGGATCATACTGAAATATATATAAGAATAAACAAACTACGAACAATTATATATATAAATTAAGATGCTACTGTAATAATTATATACAGGGTGACTGGTGAATTACTATCGATACTTGAGGACGTGATATTTGACGATCATATATGACAAAATAAAAATTAATATGACATAAATATTAATAAACTTCTAAGTAAAGTTGACCAAAAGTTATGTAATTAATTACGCATCGTGTGAACACCCTACAGATTAGGTATACACCCACACACACGCGTGCGGCGACGTATCAGCTGTTGTATCAGCACGCCGCCGCACGCGTCCTCACTTGGAACGTGTCCACACTTTATTTATTTATACGGAACTTTGGTCAAAAATTAAGTACCTATTTTTTTTACATAATTCGAATGAGAATCATGTACCGAGTATTCTCCTTAAATATTGATAGTAATTCACCAGTCACCCTGTATAATACATATTATATGAACAGTAGTTTTTATCCTCATTTGATGTATTTGTATAATTTGTCATATTTTAGACATTAAACAACACCTCAAATATATTATTCAATATTATTGTGTCATATAAAAACTTCTTTCTCATAATAAAAAAATATTTGTCATGGAATTAAGAAAAATTTACAATCAGTATAGATTTACATGAAATCCCAACTAGTATAAATAGTAACTATTTCTATGTAATCAATAAAAATTATTTATAAACTATTAAAGATTTTGTCAAATTACTTCCATATTCATCATATAACAAAGAAGAATTTATGTAATCATATTTAGGAACACATTAATGAAATGGCTTAGATCTTAAAATAGTAGCAACCACACTCAAATTCAGAACATACTATTTACTGAGATTTTAATTAAAGCTAACAAATATAAAAGGTACATAAAGGAATAAAATAATGAACTGCAAACACCAGTACAACAACAAATAAGCTAATTACAGTGTAATATTTTTAAAATAGCCTTAGAACTAACGGCTAACACAATATTAATACTTAAAAATCTTTGAGCGATGTCACTTCAAGGAACGACAACCAAAAAGCGAGCCGACGCTGTTTATTGCATATATGTATATATGTGTGTGTGTCTGTGTGTGTGTGTGAGTGTGTGTGTGTGTATACATGGTGTTTACTCTCACACTAGAGCCAGTAATCACCTTATAAGTCGGTGGAAACGTAATCGGAGCTTCTCTGAAATCCCTAAAGGCGGCGCCATCTTCAAGAACTGCTGTCAACTGATCCGCATGCAGCAGGCCGTGAGGTAGGTGAGGCGGTAGAGGGAACTGCGAATATAGACATTATGTTATATGAAATAAGGCTGTTATTTGTAGTAGTTTATTACAAACTGATCTTTCACTGTAGAATTTAAGCCCTTTTTTTGTTAAGTATTCTATTAACACAAAGAGGACGTAGCATATAATAAATATTTATCCCAAGATAGCTTTAATTTTAAAACCGAATATTTAATATATTTATCAGTTTGACAATAGAATTAATAAAAACATGTGATTTTAGAAATTATATTGAATTCTTTTATCATATAATATGTATTACTATGTATATATATTTTATCCTTTTCTAATATAAATATTATAAAAAAATCTTACTTTTGTTTGTTCTATCCACCTCAGAACGGCCGCTCTTGGTTCACCGAGTCTAAAGTTTAAGTCACCACACCAGAAAACATAATCAAAATTATTTGTGACATCTGAAAATAATATTATTATATTATAATACAATCCTACACATATATGAAGATAAAGTTTATGAATATGTATGGAGATTTTGTTCTTTCATATTAAACATACTGAACGGGTTTTAATGAAATTTTCAAGTTATTTAGTGTAGACATCAAAGTAATATATATAAGATTAGTTTATTCCTTGATTCCGTTTTGTTCAAGGGAACACCACAAAACACTTTGATTTTATGTGAGTGGCGATAGATGTCGCTGACAGTTTGTAATCATATTATTATAGACTAAGATTAAAACTCATGTTCATAGTTTGAAGCAAGTAATATCGATCTATTTATACCTCCATCACTTAAATAACTGTTTTTTATATCAAATTTAATTGTATCTTTTTTGGTATTGAAAAAAAATTACATAAATTAGGAAAACTACCTTATAAAAACGAGAGAATTTTGAAATGAGGGGAGCGAGATATAGCGGGCAAATTTATGCAATAACAATTTAGCTTTTCTGTTGCGGACACTACGTCGATGACAAATGGCGCATTGGCTTTAAATAACTACATAGAAGACATTTGAAATCCTTATCTAACAAGTCGCGCAATTTCCTATTCATAAAAATATGTAAATTTATGCATTTGACTCACAACACAATGAGCATAGTGATTTTGCATTACGATCACGTACTAATACTAAGGAGACATTATACATATCTCTCCAAACAGAGACAATATAGACAAAATCACAGAAAGAAACTAGTCATTTATAATGAAAATTCACCTTTACTGCGATGCCTGCAGGGCAGATTCTTTGGTAAATCAATAGATCTGATGATCCTCTTTATATCTGATAGCCTTTCTTTAACTTTTTCTTGATGCGCCGTCAAATGTGCGGTCACGAACAGAAAAGTCGAGCCGAACAGAGCAAACGATATGGCAACTGCACCCTTTGTCCTAAACGCTGTTCCGGGACGTACCGACAAACTAGCGTCTTCTGGTAATGAACAGAACCATATAAGATCCCTCCTCACGAATACTGTTAAATGTATTGTGCCTGGAATCAGATGTACATATATGTTACTAGCTTTTCGCCCACAGCTTCGCCAGCGTGGAGTTCGGTTATATCGCGTTTCCAAGAGAACTTTTCACAAGTCAGGGATAAAAACTATCTTATGTTCTTTCTCAAGGGAAACTCTATCTCTGTACCAAATTTCATTAAAATCAGTTCAGTGGTTTAGGCGTGAAAGAGTAACAGACAGACAGAGTTACTTTATACTAGCTCATGCCTGTGACTTCATCTGTGTTGTTTTATGTTAATAAAGTTTTTATGACAATATGTCACTGTGGGAAAAGTGATTTGATGAAAAACAAAAGAAGTGAAAAAGAAATATTTCAATTGGTGTATTTCTGTCAAATTGTTAAAGTTCATTTATCTAAAGCAGTGAAGTGATATGATCTTTAGCAAATGTCACTAATTAGACAAATTAAAAAAGTTTCTAAATATTCAACAAAATTTGTCATTGAATAGATAAAATATTTATACAGGGTGACTGGTGAATTACTATTGATACTTGAGGACGTGATATTTGACGATCATATATGACGAAATAAAAATTAATATAACATAAATATTGTAAACTTCTAAGTAAAGTTAACCAAAAGTTATGTAATTAATTAGGCATCGTGTGAACACCCTACAGATTAGGTATACACACACACTCACACATACGCGTGCGCGGCGTAGTGTTGTATCAGCACGCCGCCGCACGCGTCCACACTTGGAACACTTGGAACGTGTCAACACTTTATTTATTTATACGGAAATTTTGTCAAAAATTAAGTGCCTATTTTTTTTTACATAATTCGAATGAGAATCATGTACCGAGTATTCTCCTTAAATATTGATAGTAATTCACCAGTCACCCTGTATATTAAACAATACATGACAGACATATAAATAAAATTTGATTTTAATTCATGAACAAGGCTATTATGTAGCCATAGCTTAAAATAAAAAAAGACTATCGTTTATTAGCTACACTTGCTTGGTATTGTTAAATATTGTCATTCAATCTCGATACTGAGCACAATATAAATAATACGAATTTTTAAATAGCTTTATTGGATAACAAACAAACAAATACCTCATTCTAGATTTTAAACATCTTTGAATTTATGAATTTAAATGAAACTAACATTTTCCGACTACTACGCATAATTTATTATTTTTTTAAACTACGTACTCCCGACGTTTCCTTTTCTTTGCATCAAACGTGATCATGTCTCGAAAATATTAGTTTCATTTAAACGAATACTCACAAAAATATTAGAGCTCATTATGATATGTAAATTCTTAACATAAAACAGAGCTTGTAGTCAATCAGACATGAGAATGTTGTTAAATAATGCTAATTATGTAATTAACTGCCAGTTTACCTAAATAATAAGAATGTAGTAGTAGATGCGAAGGTCCTAGTACTTCTTGTATAGTGATCTCCCATTCAGTCCTTTCGGAGTATGACTCTTGAGTGCCAATGGCAAATATATCGGGAACATGCTTCACTTCATTTGGAAATATAAAATCTGCTAATTCTCTGAAACAGAATAAGTAAATTTAATTTAGAATACTTTTCACTGTAGCTCCGTTAGTAAAGCAACTAGAATAATTGTTTATTCAAATTTTAATTATAATAGTTATGTATTAGTTATGCTTGCCTGGTATTGTTAAAATAATATGATGTCAAGTGTAGATACTTTATTATATTAGTTGCAGTTGTTTAGTTTTGCTACTTAGCACAATACATACATGACAATTTTTATATAGTTTAATTGAATACTACATGATATTAGCTCAATGCTTGATTATTAATATGATCATTATGGAGATGGTTTAATTATGATTAAATCTTGATAAAATATATTATTTTTTATTATGAGCAATATATTTCTTACTTTGGTGGTGCTTGTCCGTTCATATTCCATGTACCAACAAATATTTTCACTTCTCTATCTGGAAACACATGTTCCAATTCAGCGGCGCCAAGCAAGGAATGAGATGCTAGTCTTCCATACAAGTAATTTCTGAAAAATTAAAATGAGTTTTCTACAAACTATATATATATAAAAAGCTTGTTTTCAAGCACAATAAGCTATACCTTTGCCGTGCCTCTTGAGTGGGTATAAGACGAAGAACCTGTGCTGCAAGCAGGGAATTACGAGCCAAGCTGTCCGTGCTCCCAGCTCTTGAAGCTGAATGTGTGATTGTTGACTTGCTCCTAATAGCACACACATACAAACATTTATCTTTTAATAATGAGTTATATATGGTAATGTGGTTTCTCTTACCTTCTTTTACGATCCAGGGAATTGCTTCTATCACTCTCGGGTGACGATGAATGGTACAATGGCTTGGATTCATTAGAAATTAAATGGTCTGCTGAAAGTCTTTTAACAAATAACTTACTCTTAGGTTTAATTCCTTCAAATGACCCAGAATGTTCAAAGGGCTTTTTGCTATCATCTGATTTAGGAAAATTTACTGTTACTTTAGGTATTTCATCACTTTTAGTTTGAGACACAGTTTGATCACTTAAACTATTATTACTAGAATCATTTATAGGGCTTGACGGTCTTGAGATAGATTCATTTCTTGCATGATTTTCTACTAGACTTTTCGGTCGAGACCTCCTGAAGAAAGTTTTGCAGCATTTCGAATTGCTTTCGTCGTCATTGCTATTTTTATTTGAACATTGATTTACGGCATCATTTATAACATCTGTATTGTTTGATCGATTTTGGGCATGATCAATGCTTGTATTGGAGGTATGTGCACTTTGTGCTATAAAAGGATCAGCTGGAGACATAGGTCGAGAGCTTGACTGACTGAATTCTTCGTTCGAATCCGTATCGACATAGCAGCCAACTTTTGGTGATTTCTTCACGAATAAACGTTTCCGCAGGGACAATTTTTGCTTGGTCCTGGTGGGTGAGGTGGTCATTTTTGGTTTAAAACCACTATAACGACTAATTTAAGTTACTAATTACATTTTTTACTAAATATAGACAACATAACCTACAACAACATTTAATAACATTATGTCATTCTACCAAATGCCATTTGCTAAGATGAAAGATCTCTCTTGATAACGTCAAAACATGTAAGAAGCGTTCATGAACCGTAATTAAGATTTCATCATAAAGTTTCTAACACGGTTTTAATATAAGAGTAACCAAAAGAAAAGATATATACTTACTTCATAATAAGAAAAAAATGTTTGTATTAAGTTTGCTGCCATGGAAACAGAAGAAAGAAAACAAAAAATATTGTTATCTTTTAAGTAAAATAAATAGACTAATCATGAAACAAAGTAAACTACAGTTGAACTTTCACGTTTAATTTATTAAAATATTACAAATAATTTTAAAATGTGGTTTTTAATATTTTTAGGTCGTGATTTACAAAAAATATATATTAAATAAATATACATTTATATACCTATATGTAAAACAAATCCGACATTATTTTGCCATGTAAACTAACATAGTAAGTGGTACAATAATTAAATTAAAATGAAATGTGGAGGCGCTGTTTCTAGTACCCGGAACCAGTAAATTGGTGCCATTAAACGGAGGATAGGGATATAATTTTCCCTCATTAATCGATTGTACTCCATTACCTATTAAAAATAAAATATTTTATAATGTATTAGAAAATGACAAATAAATTAATATATTGATGTTCAAATATACCTATATTACAAAGATCGTTTGTACAAGCTCTATAAAATGTCCGGAATGTTGAATCAGTTACTTCGTGATTCAGAAAAGTTGGCTGCCTTTCACAGCTTCGAACAAAACTTGCAACAACTCCTGGGGGATCCTTAAGGAATGGTAGGAAAATTATTTACATTAGATTGTATTAATCCTTACTCATACGTATAAAGTAGGTATAAATGAATCAATTCTAAGCAAACTAGTGCTTTAAACTGCATTCGTCAATATCAAATTTATGAATGAATATTATCGGTCTACTGTACCTATAATTCTCCATGTTCAAAAACTTAAAAAATATAGATAAAATTAAAATATCTGAACTTTTTTATTTAATAGCGTATCTCGTTGTTTGTTTTATATTTAATATGTTTATCATTTACTTACCAAAAACTCCTGTCTCATAATTGTACAATATGTATGGATACATTCTACCATTTGTGTTTCGTTTGTGATAGTAAGACAGGATCTGTCGGTATCAGTGACAGAAAACCCGCAGACGTAACACCGGAATAGAGCTTGCGCTAAAAATTAAAGTAATGTAGTTCCTAAATTTCATATTAAGGTCATTTGCGAATATTGTATACGAAATCTTTCATACTTTTTTACGTTTTTTAATGGCTATTATATATCTGACTATATGGTGTCAAACTTATAAATACCTACTATGATAATCATATATTTGTATCGCGAAACTACGTATTGAGCGTACCTAGTCATTCACGTTCTAGGTATATTGAGAGACAATTTGTTCTAGAAAACTGTCGTCGTATATACTTTGATGCTCTAAACTTATAAAATTAATAATCTGTCCGTAAGGTTTTCTATTTGTGACGTCATCTCAAGAACCACAAAGTTTCAAAGTTATAGCAAATTATTGTTGCTTAATATTCTTTAACATTGCTTTTTACGAGCACTTATGAGAAAAATGAAGTGACGCGTTCGAAAGGAGAGATTATAAGTACTTTTAAGTTATTATAATACTTTATGTTAGGTTGCAGTTAAATACAATTTTTTAATACACAACTTAAGTAAATAAGATAAATTACGACTTGCAAGAATAATAAGATTTCAAAGGGGACTTACCTCCGGATAGTCCATTGGCACAAATAAAAAGAAATATTACAAATTTTGTATACATTTTTAATGTAATGTTGATTAAGCACTAAAGAAAACATTGCTACAATATCTTGATATTGAATTCTATCTTATCTATTCCAATTATTGCTAGATAATTAATGTTATCACAAATCACTGATCATCAAGTAATATTAAATCGATGGATTATTGATAATTAACATTAAATCTAATCTTTGTTTGGAAGTGTCTTGAATATTGTGTTTTTGTCAACTCCAGCTCAGTAGGAGCTAGTTAATTTTGCAATTTAATGTACGAAAAACTCCTATATGATATTAATAGTTTTGGAAATGAAGTGAATTTCATTAACATTGCGTGATTTAAAATTGTAGGATAAAGACAGACGGTTAATAATATTTTAGTATTGACTAACAAAGTAGTTTTTTCTATGATTTATGTATTTAAGTAAAGAAAAAAATAAAACTTTAATCTGTGAAATATTAAGTCACTTTAAATGAACTCATATAAGAATTTAAGATAGTGTATGATATATATATGTTTAAGATATGGCAAATTTACTACTTGAAAAATAAATTTATAATTCAATAAAAGTTAAAAGCTTCTAGTACAGTTTAAGTTTGAGAAAATCATTTCATTTCTTTTTTTTTGTTGAAGTTTCATTCATCAATAGGAATGAATAAAATCATTTCCGAACAACATTTTTGATTGTCGGTCCGTCTGTAAGCACAGTTTATCTCTGGAACTTTTTGTTAAATGAATTTGCAATGAGGACCATAAAGGTCTACACCAACTAAAAGCTGTGAAGAAATTAAGCTACTTATTAACTTTTAAATTTAGAGTATAGCTTGACTATCTCAATGGAATCAAAATTAATAAAATATCTTTCGTTCATCATGTAATATGAAACTTTTCAATAGTATTGTCTTATGCTACAAACACAGATTTGACATTCGAAAACATTATATTTGTAAGTTGATTAATAAAAAGCTCTTTTTTGATAATACGCCATCAATCATAAAGTATTGAGAGAGGTAGGTATGTGTCATTATAATTATTGTATGACTGACCAAATGACACTTAAAAAATTGTACGGTACATTGTTTTAGCGGATCATTATTATAAAAACCTATTGACTTTTTGGACCACTGGTAAGTATATTGAAATGCTTACAAAATTAATATGGATTCAATATTAACAAATAGATCACCTTAAAACTATCGAGATATCTTAATCAAAACTGGTAGCCAGTTGGACCAGTTAAAGTAAATGGTAGATAGCCACCAGTTGTAAATCCCGAAAGTCCTGTACCTCGGCCATTGACCGGCATTTATCTTAATGGCTAGCCATTTCACTGTGAGTAATCGATCTCATGTAATTACCAACCAACTCGCTAACGGGATGCCAACCGATTTCATATCAAATGGATTCAATATGTTTTAAAGTTACTACTTATGTTAATAATTTGTGTGAACGAACAAAAGAACCGTTAAGAATTTTTCGAAATATATAAAAATTGATAAGAAATATTTCATTTTAGGAAATATTCTAATGTTTAGTTTATTCAACGATGATGGAACGAATTGTTTTTTTATTATATATGACGTCATCATATGCTAAAAAGATTTGGTTGTGAAGTGTAGGTTATATAAGAGACGAAACATCTCAGCATTCAGCAGAGGGGAGTTTTAACAGTACGTGGGATTTGCTACCCAGCTGTAGGTTTAAAGATCCCTTATCTAATGCGAGTTAAACTCTTGAAATCCAAGCTCCTCTTTTTGCCTAATCAAATTTGAAACGAATATGATAGGGCTGCCATCGTACTATCATTATCAACATCAGCCTATCAGTGCCCACCGCTAACCAAAGGCGTCTTCTCACATGGAGAAGCTTAGAACATTAATCACCACACTTGCTCAAGGCGGATTGCTATTTTCAAACTTATAATTTGAAATTTTAAGGTCAGTTTTCTTCACGATGTTTTCCTTCACCGTCTGTCAGTGGCGTCTTAAAACTCTTAGAAAGTATATATGACTTGGAAAAGTCGCATTGGTACTTGCCAGGATTCGAACACATAAAAAGCATATAAAAATCCAAAAATTAGTTCTTGCTACTTATTCTACACATTTGCACTACATATAAAATGTCAATTTTTAATGTCTATTCCATTCAATGTGAGATTTCCATGTTGGAAACAGACTGCGTGTCTGCGGCTGACCACAGCGGTCGCCATTATTTTTTACATAAACAGCTTATAATTCTTTATATACTATCTATGTATTATAAATTTATATAAAGAATTAAATAAATAAACTGATATTTGAAGTTTATTTTTAACATATTATATAAAAAAATATTTCGTGATATCATTATATGTATATTCGAATTGTGTTTTAAAAAGATTGTTTATTATATAATACTTGAATAAGTTTCAGTTGTTTGTAGTTCTAAAATTATTTACAAAGATGATATTTAATCTGTATTTATACTTTTATAATAAAATTTAAGTGAAATTTGTAAGTATTTAATTCATACAGACATTGAAAAGGGAATTCTTAATCAAATTTATTGCGAACTGACTTTGTGAATGTTCCCTTTATGGGTACGGTTTACTGTTGGTACATAGTTAACAGATTGCCTATTACAAGCTAACCTAAGCCATTGTTTTAAGGTTTTCTTACATAAAATTGGCACATTCGGTTGTTAATGATGTTTTATGAAGATTATAATTAGGCACAAGTTTCTGATTTGAAAACTAACGAAGGAAATTACATATCTTTTATCTGGAATTAACACCTGGGAAAATTTAGAAGTTGCAATAGAATTTTCGTACAAACACGACCCAAAATAACAAAAGTACGTATAATATAAAAATTCTGTTAGTAGTCGTTTCTTAATACTTGATTGTTGGGTACAAGTAACAAAAATTAAAAAGTCGGTTATACAACAGAAATATATGTGAAAAGTAAAAATTAACACTTATTATAAATAAGTAAATTTTCTATTGAATATTTTTGCGTAAGATGCTTTAAAATGGAGATTAATATATTAAATATTAAGGTAATTTACAGGTACATATACAGAGCAACTAAATATTTCTTTACTCCTGAATCCAGCACTCTCATATATCATATTTTCATTCTAACCCGAGCATTAGAAAGTTGATGTTAGTACAAAGCTACTTTCCTAGCCCGATTAGAATTACTACAATAGTACTAATATTATAAGTGTTATTTCAATAAAATAAAGGTGGTTAGGTATTAGTATTTGGTAATCTAAAATGTATGCAGATCTTAGGAAATAAATGCACTTTTATACAATTATCCACTTTGCAACTTGGGTTCTAATGAAACGGGTTTTAAAAAAGCTAACTAACTTAACAGGTTATTTAAAATAAAAACTAAGTTAAGTAATGAAACCACTAGATACTACTATAATTATTTAATTATCTTATAAATGTGGTATACTAGCAAAAAGTTGAGGAAATATTGAATTCTTATTTGAAAATTGTCACCATAAGGAAAATTGCATTTACAGTTTTGTAAGTGTAACAAATACAAACATTCTTTAATTTTCCGAACTCTGTATATAAGGAAATCGGTAGATAATCAAATTTACTTAAAATAAATATCTTAATCATTTTAAATATTAAAAGCAATGGTGAGGATTTTTTTTCTACTTTACTATTCTAGATTTACTAATATAGATTGAATATTAAAATGAAAAAAGTTATAAAGCGATCTTATATTAATAAAGCAGTAATGAATTCAGCAATTCAAATGAATTCTATTTCTAAGATGACATAAGCGTTGTGAAGCCAAGCATTCTATAGCCAAGAGTAGAAGAGAAGCTATCATTCCATATACCAGCATTAGAAGAGCTGGGTAAAAGTCAGTCATATTTACAGAACCAAAAGTCCCACCGTGAACAGAACAAATAGGTTTACGAGAGTATATTAAACGATTGACGCGATCATTTAGACCGTGCTCCTGATTCCTTAATAATCTGTTGACAGATTAAAAAAATATATGAAAAGAGGTTGTCAATTACGTCAAACTGCATGGTGACAGTTTTTATCATATGGTGTCTAGGCCAAACTATGGTTTCACCTAAATCGATAAGAATGGAATTGTATAGTGATAATGTAATGAATTAATATGCATCGATTCAGAATAACTAATAGCTTTATAGATAACTTAACTCTCAATAGAATAGGTATGAAATTGAATGTAAAATTATCAATTCACTTTTGATGATGATTAAAAGAATTATGAAATGAAGTTACTTTAGTAGAATCTTTTAGAAAAATACTGAAGAGGATTCTGGTTGTCATTTCTGGTTCCTTCATTCGTTCTTATAAACTATATTTGATCAATTTTACTGAATATTTTCTTATGAAGTTACCACCCACTTCTTATTTAGGTATGAAATGTAATAACTATTATGTATTTTTTATATTGAAAAAGGAGATTAAGTAAATTATTAATTATACACAGTGGAAAACAAAAAATAATATATCAATGATTAATACATCTTAGGTGCAGTAAGTAACTTTGAGCTGACAGCTGAAAAGTGTAGATTTATTTACCCAATTTTAAATATCTCCTTATACGGCGAGTTTTTACGGCACGTGACCCACGGTATAGTCTCGTGGTTGAACTGAATCTCTTGCAGTCCACACTTCTCATGCTCCAGGAAATATTTTTCCACGAGACGGTACCCACCGCCGAGATACATATGAAAAGCGAAGGGTTTCTGAAAAAGAACTACACGTAGAAGAAATTGACCAGTACTTTTATCGCATATTCAAATTAAATACAAAGTTCTTCTAGTTTTCCTTTAAAGAACGTACTTTATGGCTATCGTATACGAACATTACAATATTATAATTTCAAATATCTTTTATTCATGTCAGGAGTCAATAACCTTTGGAAATATTTCGACGCATAGTCTTCCAAAGAGATTACCTACCGTCTGAATTCTCTTCACTCCTTCTTCCAATGTCATAAAATTTGGTTTAGACCCAGCTGGTGCTATCTTTTTCTCGTAAATAGCCTTCCTTATTGGTTCGGAAGCGGTCTAGAATGAAATACAGTTAAATGTATTAACATTTAAATGTTTTTCTTTGTATGTTAAAATGAACAATGTTCATTATGTTCGTGTAAAATTCTTTTGTTATTCCTAAATAACTAGATAGATTTGTTATGCAAATTAATGGCAAATTCTTTTTCCTATTTTATCGTTTTCTAATGATTTTGGATATAATGCAAAAATATGATTCAATATACAAATAACTCACGGATAAATGCTGTCTATTATAAGGCGTGTCTTCCGCACCGAGTTCTAATTTAGAGTTTAATAGATCGGCTAATGTTTTAATGTCATTAGAGCTGGATTGAAGTAAAGCTACTATGTTGGCTGAATATGATGTGTGCAAGAAAAGGAATACGAAGAACATCAGGAACATCACTACTCTACCCAGAGTTCCTATGAATAAAATATTATTTAAAACATATAAATACTTGAATATTTTTAGCGATAATTGTAAGTAAAATGTCCTTCAACTCAATTCAGAATTATTCTTTTTGTAATGTCTCTTACCACAAGTTAAACATCGTCAAAATAAGTACGGGATTTTTATTTTTACTAACAAACTAATGTCGATACTATTCTAGGCTAAGATTTATGAGTGAAGAACTACTAAGATTTTGTAATGACTTTGACGATGCAGACTTATAGTAAGGTTACTGATTTCAAAGTATATGGTACCGAATATATTTGAGTCTATCAAACGTTACCTTTGAATTCCGTGAAGCTTCCTTGTTGAGTGATAGCTCCTATGACCATCATAGTAATTTCACTTATATCAAGATGTGGAGAACGAGGCGTCTATGAAATTAAATTATTTTACAAATCTTCATATAGAATAGATGATTAAAATTTGTAATCTCTATTGTTGCTTTAAAATATAGTGCCTTTACTCGACATTGTGAATTAAGCATTTTATTTATTAAAACGTCATATCAGGAAGATTGTTTAAAATATAAGTGTATCAAAAAGTTGGTATCAAATTTGTATACAATGCAAAGCATATTTATATCTATAGTATATACACCAGTCGAATTCAAACAGAACTATCTCATCATTTATTATTTATTAATACAAACACAGACTTTCTGTCTTTTTATCGTAAATATTTACTCACCTTATCAATATCGTGGCATTTAAAATTTTCCCACCGTCCGTTTATAAATACAATGAGCAGCAAAAGTATAATGAGGCATAAGATACACAACCAAACTGTTGGTTTAAAAGGTAGTACGAATATATTGTTTTGATAAGACAAAGACGGCTGGCGGAAAACGAATCTCACTGACGATGGTAGTGGAAATGATAGAAAATCAAGAACTTTTGTTCGGGGTTTTGTAAAAAACATCACCGTCCCTGTAAAGTAAAAAATATACAGGGTGACTGGTGAATTACTATCAATATTTAAGGAGAATACTCGGTACATGATTCTCATTCGAATTATGTAAAAAAAATAGGCACTTAATTTTTGACAAATTCCGTATAAATAAATAAAGTGTGTACACGTTCCAAGTGTTCCAAGTGTGGACGCGTGCGGCGACGTGCTGATATAACACCACGCCGCGCGCGCGAGTGTGTGTGTGTGTGTGTATACCTAATCTGTAGGGTGTTCACACGATGCGTAATTAATTACATAACTTTTGGTTAACTTTACTTAGAAGTTTATTAATATTTATGTTATATTAATTTTTATTTTGTCATATATGATCGTCAAATATCACGTCCTCAAATATCGATAGTAATTCACCGGTCACCCTGTATAATCACGATTTAGCACCCCTATTACGTGTTTTTATTTCGTTTCTACTTTCATTCATATGCTTGTGGGTAGAGTAATTGTTGAGAATATCTTCAGTTTGAAGAAGCGAGCTCGTGTTATTAATCTACCTGTTAATTCCGCAGTACCCCGGGTCACCTCACCGATCATGCCATCATAGGAACCATTCCTCAAATATCCCCAAGTATCCGTGAACACGGTTACTAGTGTGGCATTCATGAAATAGTATAAAGGCAAGATTTGCCTGTAACCAGCTTTGGTCAGATGATCCGTATTCAAATTTCTGTTAGCAAATAATAAACTCTTAGTTGTTTTATTAAAAGTTTTTTTTCCTAGATCTTCTGTAATACAAACCTCATGCTTAAAATATCCATCCTAGTATCATTATCGTTGACTACCATTGAAGTTCCGATTTCGGTTCCTTCTAAATTTCTACGTCTCTGGGAAATTGGGATATTCATAGCTGTTACTTTGTTTAATCCCATTTCATTAGTCCAGGTGCCAAATGTTTCTATCTTCCAATTGCCTTTAGGCATGTATTTATAAACTGTCAAAAGTATATCGTTATATCACCCAGAGTTCAATCGCTATACGACATATTGTACTAGTAGTACGTTATTAAAGGAGAAACTTGAAACGTATCGTATGTAGTATGACGATGAAAACATGTACTAAGGCTACGGCTATGACTTATCAAACAAATTTGTTTTCACTTACTCGAATATAAGTAATACGTATTATAATTTTTATTTGCGATAACAACACTTGAATCAACCAAAATACTCAAATCATTTAGTTCAGATGGAATATTACTATCAACATTCTCTGAGGTATGGAAAATAAGCCAGTGATAAGTGCTTCGAAACTTTTGTGTGACGTTAGCCTAAAATCAAATTAATCCGACATACATATATACAAATGTGACATATTTTTTAAGGAAAAATATTCACTAATATATAATAATTTACTTTTTCAAAAAACTCTGAAATATTCGGACATTTCATATCCGTAACGATAATAGTATTCGTCAGCGAGGGTTCAATGTAATCATTAATTTCAATAAATTGAACAGACTTAGGCGGATATATTTTATAAATTTCCTTCACCATATTATTCTTTTTAGCTACAAAATATAAACAATACATATTTATTTTAAAAATAAATCTTATTTAATTAAAAATAATATATATATCAACCTGTATTCCAACAAACTTTCAATAAAATAGTAGCGGGTAGTTTATAAGAATTGATTATATCACCAATCAATTTGATCTCATCTGAATATACATTTTGGGTGAACGCTAAAAGAAACAGGTACACGTACTTCATATTTGAACACTGAAGTGTATAACTTGCGTAACATATTTTATATGTAAGTTATAATTAAGTGTCGTAGAAACAAATCAACTACAATATCTAATTACTTGTTCTCTAAACACTAGTTGTAAAACCCGCTAACTACACAGGCGGCTCTGTCACTGTAATTACAGATAAAGCTTCTTATTACTTATTACCTCTTGTTTAATTTCTAGAATTTATATTTACGTTTCCAATGTAAAGTTGTAATGTATATGAAATTAAATACACTGTTGATTCAATATATATTTATTTGTTAAGAAATATAAGCATGACATAAAGCAGTTAATATTTGCGTAATTTATTAAGATTACTAATTAGAATTAAGTTGTTTAAAAATTTATTGAAATAGAATCTATTTTTTATACTGAGGTTAACAGCGTAAACATCTTAAAAAGTAATCTTGAAAAAACATTAACACGAAGCGTCTCTTAAAATAAACGACTAATGAGAAAAACAAGAATCAATTTATTTTCAATTATTTAATGAATTGCTAAAGCATCTGCATTTAATTGCATGAAACGAATTGATTTCCTCAAGATGAGCAACATTGTATTCTATGTAATAAACAGTGACGGTTGTAATAAAGGTTTTCCGCTAGCAATACGGATATTGAGATGAGAGTTCCATAGGATAGTATTAATATAGCCGGGTAACAGTCGACCATACTGACTGATATAAAGTTAGCTTGACGACCAGAACACTTTGGCTTCTTCTCATACAGTAAACGATTCTCACGCTGCTGTAGACCGTGTTCTTGGAGACGTTTTGTACTTTAAGGCAAAAAAATAATAATAAAATCGCTTAGACCAGTCGAAAGGTATGAAGTAACAAACATATAATATATATGTGAATTGAGGTCCTCCTTTTTTGATGGTTAAAAATGTGATTCAATGAAAAGAAAGCATTTATTATGGGTTCTCTAGAAATAAAATAGACAATCGTATTAGTTAATTGACTTTGTAAATCTATACTGACCCAATTTTGAACATTTCTTTGAACGGGGTCTGCTTTCTGACGGCCAGCCACGGGTCTATAACGCGCAAGTACTGGATCTCTTTTAGTCCACATTTCTCACCTTCTTCAAAATATTTTCCAACAAACTTATATCCAACACCAGTTTCCATATGAAACGCAAACAGGCCCTTAAATTTAATAGACTAAACTTATTAGTAACTTTACAACATATAATGTAGTTGTGATGATATTAAAAGAACCTTTCTGATTTCCTGAACTCCTTCCTCCATCGTCATAAAGCGTGGTGTAGTTCCTGGTGGAGCCACTTTTTTTTCGTATATCGCTCGTCTAATCGGCTCAGTTTCAGTCTGTGAAAAACAATTCTCTAACCAGCTGCACGTACTGCAATTAATGTTGAACAAAATCGCCCTTGATTTTGCAGTATTGGTCATGTTCTTGCATTTACGCAAGACCAAGACCAGGTATGTTTATACAAGATCAAGATCAAGACTAGCTAAGTCTCTTGTTATTGCATTTGAACAACATTAACTGTAATGATATGATTTATAAACATTAAAAAATATTAACCGAAAAATAATATCTGTTAAACACGGTGTCGTGGACTCCGAAATTGATTCTTGAATGCAGTAAATCCTCAAGAGTTCGTATTTGTGAAGAGCTCGACTGTAGTAAAGCCACGATGTTAGCAGAATACGACGTGTACAGGAACGTCAACATGATGAAAAGTAAAAATAATACCATACGACCTAATGATCCTTAAAAGAAATTGAAACACATAACCAAAACTGAACCTCATTACCAAAGTAAAAATCTTATTATTCAATTTTAATACATATTGCCTTACGTTTAAGGTAAAAAATTCTTACCTTTCAATTCAACAGTACTTCCTTGCTGACAGGTCGCACCAAATATTAATAAAGCGACATCAACTACATTCGGTCTCAAAATCCCTGCGTTTCGTGTTCTAATCTAAATAAAATTAAAGTTCTGAATACAAAAGACTAAAAATTCCTTAATACGCTATTGGTTAGATTTTTCTTACCGTTCTCTTATGTATAGATGTCCTTTTCCATTCCCATACTGTGACAAGAAACAGAAACAAAAATAACATACTTATAAGGATCACGGAACCGAACCATAAGGAACGTTTGAAGGAAAGGACAAATAAATTATTCTCGTATGATAGCTTCGGTTGCTGAAAGACGAATTTCGATCGAGTCGGAGTTGGACTCGAGATGTACTCAACTACGGAAAGTCGCTCGCCAGTTAGAAACATCGGTGATCCTTAAATGTTAAAATTTTAATTAGAGCAAATACTTTTTAGAACAACTGTAATCGCTACTATATTTCATGTATTATATATATTTAAATTACTGATAGGATAGTCTTTTACTGCTTCGATACTGCTGTAGACGGTAAATCCACTATCCCAGTAAAAATATTTTGCCCTGACGCTATCCAAAGCGTAAATGCAAGAAGGAGACTGGTTCAACTATTTTCTGTGCGTTTGGGTTGTACTGGCTTTATTTATTTGTTAAGAGGAATAAATCATGATCAATCTACCTCCAATATCAACTTCTTCTCTGTCCAAGAACCCTGTCATACCACTCCACGTATCGTTATGCTTATAGCCCCAAGTATTAGTGAAGACGTAACGCCGACTCGCGTTCAAGAAATCCAACAGCTGGTTTGTGGTTGGGAAGTTTACTTTTGTGATGGTATCTATGTGGTCGTTACTGTATAAAAAATATACTATACATAAAGAAACGCTACTAGTATCTGATAAAATTAAAATGGACCAAAAACATGTATTGCGAAGTCTTACAGGTAAAGTTGTATGAACCTACTGAGTTACTTACACTTCATCAGCTAAGTGATTAATACTATCGTTATCAGTGAGCACGTAACATATGCTTATTTCGTATTTATTTAAATTGATTCTCCTTAACGCGGTCACTTCAAGCATAGATTCAGTTTTGAACATACCGCTTTCATTCCATGTGCCGTATAGCTCATTACGCCAAGCTGTGTTTGGACCAATTTTAAAGACTAGAACAAAATTATAACTTGTAATTAAAATAGACTACAAACCGATTTCACGAGTTGTAAACAAGACCCAAATAACATTTGTTGATAAGTCCCAAATAATCTTGATAAAATTTGTAATTGTTTATTATTAAATTTATTTAGCGATAGACTTTAATGACGACGTATAAAAAGATATTAAGCAAATGTTTTTTTCTAAATAGTGTTGTTTAACTTTTATGCGATATCGGAAAAAGTAATATTATCATTTTGAGGAAAAAATATTTATATTCTATAAATTTTGAAACACTTGATTCATTCAACTAATTAGAAGCCACTTTCATAAATTAATGTACAACGTTAATGGAATTATCCTCAAAATACTGTTTACTTTGGAAGACGTTACATGACAAACTACTTTAATTAATTCCAATAATAACGTTAATTTGGAAATATACAAAAAGTAAAGAGTAATGAATATATTGAATAATGCCTGGATGTTTTCATTTTTATAAAAATAATTTTAATATAGTAAAGATTGCGATTAATTTGTTTTTATTATGACAGCTACATGAAGCCATAGTACTTATAAAAAAATAATAAAAACATGACATTACGTCATAACTGCAGATGGATGACTTTTTTTAATATCTTTTTGCATACCTGTGATTCTGAACCGGAGGTAGAAAATAAAGTAAATTATAATTTCTTACACAGATTATGATTATATAACAATTGTATTCGTTAAATTTAATACATAATTCAATTAATCCATTAAGTAAGCATTATAATCATTTAGCGGTGAAACTGCATCAGTTCAGAACGACTTTCACTTGAGTACCTACTCACCGTAGTAAATCTGAAAACTTGCATCATTAATCCGACGAATCACAGCTACTTCCGAATCGATTAAAACATCGATGTCTCTGATGACATCTGGTATGGTACTTTGATGACCAGAATATTTATCGATAATCACCCATCGATATGGGAATCGAAATAGAGCGGGGTCTGTCTGTAAATAAATTTCAAATATTTATTACTAAAACAAAAGAACATTATTCGATTGAATTATTTTATTTACCCAGTTCGCATTAAAACGATCCTTTGGGCAATTTAGATCGGTGAAAAACACAGTGTGATGCTTTATTTCTTTATTATGTAAAATGTTAGCTGATTCGACAAACTTTATTATTATAGTATTTTCAACATTACTTCCAGCTAATTCTGAATACGCCATTAACTTTTGCTCTGAAGAAAAAAATCTTTATTCTTATGAGATAATATTTTTAGTAAACGTCATTTTAGTTTGAATTCTATTTACCGGCTGTCCAACATGTCATAGCTATAACGAAAGAAGGCTTCTGTAATGAACGAAACACATCTGCAAGCATTTTTATATTAAATGCGTCAACCGAAATTATATTCGGCACTAATACGAAAAAAAATACTATCTTTGCATGCATCGTAATAAGTATGAGGTATGGGATGATTTGATACGCTTTTATACGACGAAGTATGTACTTCACGAAATTGGCCAATCTTCACAAAACTGCAACTGAGTTCCGTCTCATAAATAAAACATGGAATGCATAATAAAATTTTGGGTTCATTCGTACAAAATTCGAACGGACTTTTTATTTAAAAACAACTATAATTATTATAGTTTACGTCTCTATTAATATTTAAGAAAGTTTGTGATAATTTTAATATGAATAAAAGTTATGAATTAAGAAAAATAACTTTGCTCTTTTTAAAATTAAGAATCAAAAATTATGAACCACGGGCCTATCTGTACCGGTTTTTTATTCAAAATATTATATTTCGAAGATTCGAATATAAAATTCCAGTTATTAATTGACCTTGGAAGTCAAAAACGGCGTTTTTTTTTCACATCCAACAAGATAACTTTCGGGCGAGTCATTAAAACACTAATGACATCTTCAAACACAAGGTATTTTTCCGTTAGTACTGTGTTTACAATCGCTCCCTTTTCGTATTATCAGTAAACAACATTAAATTATTAAATACGTCCCTGAGCCAGTCAGTACAGTCCGTGTCTTTGTTACATACGCATATAATTTTAATAGTTTTATTGTAAAATGATGAGTTTTATTGAGAGTATTGTGTTAGCGAGTGGTTCTATAGAGTGTGCGTATATTAAGAAGAAGCAAACTCCATCTGAATCAACGCCTCTCTTAGGAGAAAAAACTGAATGTAAGTATAAGTAATATGTATTACTAACTTTGTAACACTAATCGCTATCGTATAGATTAAGTACTAGACTATTTGAGCGTTATCATTGGGTATTGTTATTTATTTGTTAAACAAATTACAATTAAAGTAAAAGTAAAATTTGGTGTACAATATGAAGATATTGATGGAAAGTTTTTATTTAAAAATATATACATATGTAGGGATAGTTTTTGTTGATATTTTTAAAAGTAAATTTAAATGTAAATTTACATTTTCAATCTATTATTATAATATGTATGAATATCTATATATTCATATGAATTGGCTAAACGTCAAAACAGGTTATACAAATTTTGTTAAATATTTTTTTTAATGATGTCATTGTCACGGATAAATTTAAAAATATAAAAATTTCATTATGAGTGTAATATTATGATATTTTTGTACTTTTTATATGAAAAAGTATACACTGTGTTATAAGTGTCATTTTATTTAGTATTTGTTTATCTTTTCAGTTCAATGTCGGGCTTCCAATAATGTTTTTGTTTTATTATTATCAATAATGTTTAAGCTTGTTGAAAATATTAATTGCCTATCATAATAAATACTATGACAATTGTGGATCTGCCGGAGATTAACTTTTTAAGACGTATTGGCTCTTGTTCATTAATCAAACATTTTTTTTTTTTTTGATGAACTTTCCCCTTTTATTGCTTGATATAAATTAATTTCTTTGTACAAAATCAATAAAGTTTTACAATTATTAAAAGAAAAAATAGTAAACACTAGAACTATAGAATAGAAGTTCCTATTAAATATTTTGTAATAAGAAAGGCATTCGTACACATACATATTTCATTCTAAGACATAATTTAAATACATAAATTACATTATACAAACGTCAGGAAAAATGCAAGCGGACGTCACACGTCAATAAATAATAACTTTAAAAGATAAATTAGAAAAAAAAACGGAAAAACAGATAATAAAAAATAAACTATTACGTAGAGTATTAATAAAATAACGTATTAACAATAAAATAATAGATTTAAAACGATTGTCCTCGATACGTTCGTATGTATTGAGAAATATATAGATTTGTTTTACGTAAATTTAAATTTAATTGATCATTGTAATTTACATATGTTGTTAAGTTACATAAATTTCTTTCAAAGGAAGTCATTTTTTTAGCGATTTATATGTTTTTTTTCTTTAATATTTTTTCTTATTCCGAGAGCACAGATAAATAATCGCATGTTTGAAATCATACAGCCAATATCATCTTATTTGATATCTTCGTTATACTATCCCATTACTGAGAAAAGGCCTATTTCTCACATTAATCACCACGCTTGTTCAAGACGGGTTGGTGATTTTAAACTTATAATTGTGAAACTATAAGTCCAGGTTTCCTCAATGTTTTCCTTCACCATCTGTCAGTGGTGTCTGAATATTCTTAGAAAATACATATGACAAAGTTAAATCACTTGCCAGGATCGAGCCCACGCCCTCGGGCACGAGAAGCGGGTTTTTAACCACTAGGCCACCACTGACTAAATGATTTAAGGAAACATTATTATGTACATTTTATTAGAAAAGAAATAAACAACTAATATATGTATAGTGATATAATCAGTGAAAAGATAACAACAAAAACTATCCTAGTAATATTTAAATACTATGTCAATGTATTAATTCGTAATTATATATGTCCATATAATTATACATGTGTGTTAAGGATCCGCAAATCTAGATTGTGACGGCCTTCCTAGATCTAGTGCCACAAAATCATGGGCCAGTGCCAGAAAATATATAAAAGATATTTATATTGTCGCACACGCCGCGTAGTAAGGTCAACTTAGTAGTGATAATATTGATAACCTAAGATCAATGAGAGAATAATTGTTTTTAACCGGCTTAAACAAAAGAAGGTTATGTTGGAAATTTATCCTTGAAATGTTTATTTCTCACAAACTATGGACAGTTTTTAATATTAATCTGTTGGTAACTAAATAAATGTGTATTAAATCAATATTTTTAGATGTTCTAAAGTCAAATAATTGTTTTAAATTAATAATCCCCGTTGTAAGTTTAGTCAAACAATATATGTATATATAAATCTGTGTTTATTTATTCATTATTGTAAAATGCAAAAAATACGTTCAGGAATTTGTTCTTCAAACAAACATATAGATCCTTATATTTGTATGTTCACTTTTCTTGATTTAAAAGTATGAGTGTTCAATTTAAAAGAAAATTATCTTAATGAGGTATTAAAATAAATGCTTATACATTTTTGCTTTCATCTATTTGGCAATATAGATTTTGATAAAAATTTTACATACACTTCGTATAAACAATATCTAACCTTCATATTATAATAAATTGCAATATTGCACCATTAATAATTAAATATAAAACTCATTTATTCCGTACTCCAGGAAGTATAACGCAACAAGTAATAATAATTACTAGTAATATAAAAATATTACCTGCATTCGATTCTAGCTCGTACAGATGTCACCACAAGTGTAGCGGTAAATACATGATTGATGAGAACAAAAAATACCTTCGTTGCGAACTGTACGAGTGATATTATTAATATATATTAATTACTGATTATATTTATAGGTATTTAAATCTTATTTGTACTGTCGTCGATACTTTGACTGGCTTAGTGTTAATGAACTCTCATTGCTATGTAGATATTGAATTATACGATATAAATTTATTATTATAATTAAATAGTTGGCTGTTTAATATTAAACTGTTGCAGGTATTGAAAAGATGAAAAAAAAGTTAAGCTGTCATTTTTTTGATGACGTTTTCTGTGAGAGGCAAAAACTCAATTACAATCATTTTTCTTGTCAAAATTACGCATATTTCGTATACAAAATTGATTGAATATAATAATAATATCTATTTAAAGTATATTTTTATATTAACTAAAATAGCACGATCCTCAATCTACGGCCTTATTTTTTTCTTTGTATGCAAGCCAGCGTGTCGAGGGACGATGATAAATTTTATTTTAGAACGCGGAAATAAACGTTCAGTTAGCCGCTTTTGTTCACGTTTTATTACGTACCTTTCCTTGTGTTTTAATTTAATATCGAAATATAAATTTATGAATTTTAATATAATAATCATACTATTTTATTAAGCAAAGGTCAATTGACATTCAGCCTGATAGGATGTGGATTTTAGTTGAAAATTCTTTCGTACTTTTTATGGTTAACCAGCTAACCTAATAAATCATGTTTTGTAATACGCTGGCATAGGACTAATGGTGTCGTGTTTCCATAATGAGCGATGCAGCCAGGCTGTCTGCCGCGCCCACAGACATTACACTAAAGAAAGTATCGGAAATATTAATACTATGATAGAAATAATTCATTGCTACCTTTATGGTTTATTAGATTTTTTTATGACTTACTATATCTTTAAAAAAATAATTCTATATATGTACCTACCTATTGTCACATTTGTACCTACTGTCATATTTGTACATAAGTGCCATCTATAATTTTTTTTATATTATTCCTAATTAATGCTATCTAACTTTGCAATGTAGAAGGAACATCTTAGAATGCACTACTGATATTAAATTCCTATAATTATGATCTTAGCCTTAAAGCAATATTAGCTGAATACATCAACTGAAATTAATATCGAAAATACGTATCTCAAGCAAGTGTAACACAATATTCCAGAGGTTTTAGGGTTATAACGTGCTGAAACAATGAATTTTTCATATGATAAATGTTTATTTCATTGAGTTCGTAAATTAAATTAATCAAAACAAAACCTTAAATGAATTTGACATTCGCGCCAAAATAAATGTCATTTTGAATAAAAAATTAATGCTTCTAACTCAAACACAAATTTTAACAGCAAGTAATAAATAACTTTAGTTAATTTGAAATATACATCCTAAGATTCCAAGTAACACAAAATTTATTAATACTTTAATTAGCACCTTGAAATAAATTCTAAGAGCGCTAGCACAGATAAATAATGACAACATCTGTATACTCACCCCAGAAATAAAGAAGCTCCAAGTAAGAAAGAATGTTGCCAAGGCTAAGTATAGGTGTAATCCGACTGACGCAAATCGCGACAAGTATCTGAAGGTTCGCAATCGTTGCAACAGGCTATGTAGAGATAGTCAACGACGCCATATCCATAAATCTATAGC